GATATCCAACCAAAAAGATCATGAAATGCATGTATGGATCCTGCCCATAATAATAATAGTTAAGTTTACCTGGGTAAGCTTCATCAGCTTCAACGTTGTTCTTCCTGAGAGCGATTGCCAAGTACCCATTTATACACCTGGGTGCAGGGTAGCAAACATGGATTAACGTCTTGCCAAAGGATGTTAGTGCTAGGCTGGGATTCGAACCCTCAATCCTGGGATTGAGAGTCAAGTGAGCGAACCACTATACCAAGACACCTCCACTCGCCCTAACCCTAAACCTATCCCATACCCAATCACAACTATTTCTGTCTCACTGCCTCATTCATTCATCATTTCCCCTGGGCTGTATTTTGTTCGAGATACAGAGTTATTGAATGGTTGATATTGGGCTTCACAATAGGTTTAGGTTAGGGCTAGGGTTAGGGCTAGGGTTATACTTTTTGGCCCAGGGTTCACCACGGAATCCAGCTAGTGTAGGAAATTGATTGCAGAGCCACCAAGTAACGCAGGGTCATATTGTCGCAGAACATCTCTGTCAGATTGCTCCAGATATGCATCCATCTATTGTCAGGAAACAATCGTTAATGCTAATCTGCCACTGCCTAGCAGAAAATGTCTGTAGTTATGACCACAAGACACCTTAGGCAAACAAAAAATAGAAAAAAAATAAGGAATTTGTCTTGACTAGCTTGTATTGATGAAAAGCAGAGAAAATAATACAGGTTGTTGAAGGCAGAAGGATGCAAGTTCTAATATTTTGACAACCAGGAAGTTTTCGGTACTTCATAGTTGGGTGGGAAGTCGAAATAGGCATAACGGAAGAAGAGAAAGCTAATGACAAATATGGACCTTTCATGTATAACACAGAAAAAGCTATTTAAAAATATTGAAAATACTTGTTCTGTTTTTCCTTGTTTTGGGGGCTTTTCCCTCTTAATTTTTCTAATTGCATGATCTTCCATTTCTCATACATGTTGTAGCAGTGTAAGCATTTATCTTGGGCTGTAAACATTGATTGCCTTTGGAGATATTGCATGGATATTATTGTCAAATAAGAAAAACAGAAAGTGTGCAGCCCAGTCTGTAATTTTGAAAAGAAAAGGAATGGGGGGGGGGGGGGGGGTGATCTGCAAATGAAATGATCTTGATTAAGAGGTATTGAAGTATGTTTGTAAATAGAAGCACGGCCAATCCTTCCAGCATGCAGCATTTATCTGCTCATTTTCTTGTCCCTGCATTTATCTTCAAGCTCTTGAGACATAGTTGATAGTCATTTGATTGAGAACCTCCTATTTGATTACTTCTAACCAAACATCTTTAGCTTTCAGACAAAACCTTGGAAACATCCGTCTTGCTCCCCTCTAACCGACCAGCGGCCCATGGAGAAGAGGGCAATGTTCTTACAAGTGGGTTCTGGAAACTTCGACAAACAATCCCCAGGAAGTTCTCCAAACCGCTGCTTTCTGAAAGCAAAGTCATTGACTAGTCGGGGAATGAACATTATCAACTCCCTTGTGACGGAGACATGGATGATTAAGTTACCCACAGATATTGCTTCACATTTGCTTAGTGAGCAAATATGCTTCCATCACGATTAAATTACACTAGAATCTTTCCGCCTAGAATGGTTGAATAAACATGAATGTTTTGAGCACAATTTTGAATCATTAAGGGTTTTTGAAAGGGAAGATGTTGCAGACATTTTCATACTGCCAATGTAACTAAAGAGGTGCCCCCCCAAACCACTAAAATTTTATAAAACCCGGAACTTGAGTGCAATACAAGGATATTCATCAAGTGGTCCCGTGAATTCTGAAAACATCTTGAAATGCCAAAGCACAAGTCAAATTTCAGCTATTATAAATTCCACCACTTTCCTGTGTTATATTGTAAATTTTCATGGGAATTTGCCAAACGTAAGAGGAAATCGCATGGCCTTACCTGTTCAGCTTTAAAAATTGTCCAATGTTTTTGTTACGATTGAAAGTGACCATCTCATTTGGATGAAAAAGGAATACATTTTTTACTTTAAAGTGCATATATCTAAGTGATTGCAAGAAACCATACATTTACATTCAACCCCTTTTTTGTTCTGTTGGTGCTATACAGGCCTTATTTCATCAGAAATGTAGCATTAGGGTTAGTTATAGTGTTTGATACAAGGTATTAGTTAAGAATAGTGTTTAGTTTTTAAGTTTAGTGTGGGTTATTGACCGTGGAGCCATTGTTTTGAACAACCCCTTTCCATTTGGACTTTATGTTCTCTAGATGTCGACATAAATGATATTCCTCTATGCAAAAACAGGCTTACTACTGGATCTTGTAGTAGAGCCTTTAAAGCTTATCTGCCGTAGTTTACAGGAGAGATTAGACTGCCCTGCAAGGTCACTGGACAGGTAGTTATCTCATCAACTCGGCTCTCAGTTAACATAATAAAAAGAGGATCATGGGGGACCAATGGTCACCGATTAGGCATTGTTTGTTATATAGAGGGCGCAAGTAGCTACAAGTAGTGCAGTGGGCCTTTAAGAATGTCAACAGGTATCTCTGCAGGCTCACTATCAGGGTCTCTTCTTCCCAAAATATTCACAGTCACATGCTTCAAACCAAACCTCTTGAATTCTGGTTGATGTGCTCAACCAAATATCCATAGTCCATACGCAATCTCCTCCCAAATTCCCTCTTCTTATTTTGTCTTGTTTCATGTGATAACAGATGTTTGATTTTTGTTTAAAATCAGTGAGCATCTTAATGCAAAACCTTCTCTGCCTATTTCATCTTTATTCAATTCATTTGATATAAAATATGGCAACTTTATCCATAGATGACATGCCCCTCTATGTTTTTCATTGGTACAATTTTTTAACACAATATCTTAATATTCTTATTGATTGGACCAAAGTCATTCAAGAATAAGTTGCGCGAAATCGATAAACAGACTTTGCAAGACAAATGTAGACATCTGTTTAGAGATGGCGTTCTAGGGTTTCAAATTTGCTAAAATTCAACAAAGGCTTTAGAACTTGAACAAAGTAAAATAATTCAAATGCACCTTCATGACGTAAGTAATTTGAATGACGGTTCATAACACAACACCCTTAAATGCACAATGACACTGCTACATTCCAGCTATGTTATTAAATTGACAGTACAGATATTTCTATTTTTACACACTAGTAATCAATTTCTATATTGACTGCGGTTGCACCTGTCTTAGTCGGTGACAGACTCTCCGACATGCTGACGTGCCAACGCAAACGTGGCTCCTCATAACGTGCGATGAAACCGCCGGCCCATTCGTCATGCACGCCTTGCGTCTGTAATTTCCCCGCATTTTGCTTCACGTGGGCCATGTAAACAAGTTCTGATAGAAGAGTCAACAGGTAGAAGAAGTATCTGGCCTTGCTCAATTTCCAGTGCTCGCCTTACAGAGCACACGGCCGCATCCCCCCTTGATGAAACTGTTTGGAATCCCACCAGACTATTCCCTTTTCAGTGAACAAATTGAGGAAATGTATTCCAGTGTACATCATCGTAATCTGTCTTTATTGAGATGGCTAAGCTGTGGCTTTGCTTTGAGAGAAGAACAAATAGATTCAAAACGAGACATACATGTCTTCGTGTTTTTGCATGCAGCGGCACATTTATTGTACTGTAAGATGTATATGGAAGAGTTGTATCTTCAATCATTGCCGATGTCTGAACTAGGCAAAGACAAGTGTTTTAGGCGCCGCTCAGACAATCAGTGCAATTTGTTTCATTATCTCTGTGAGGCCATTCCTAGGAGAATTTTGAAAATACCCTCCCTGGGTCCTCATGCACTTCAAATGAAAGCCAGTTTGCAAATTGGCAACTATTCTCATGATGTGCTATCTTCTGCTAATGATTAACTCTGTGTAACATGTTATGAGTTAATGTCCTTCCGGCTCCAAACAGACATTTGTTGGGCCTTGTCGAAATTCTCTTGGATCCTTGCTCTTGAAATGGAAGATAAATTGTGTAAATTGGCAACTACATTCCCATGCTGTGCAACATTTTCTAATGATTAACCTTTCCACTTCTTTCCAACATTGTAGGTTAGTTTTGAATTTGTTAAACATGTCTCCGTAGTTAGAATGAAAAAAGGAAGGAAAAAAAAAAATCAAATTGGCCAAAGTGATTTGCAATTAGTTGATTACAAGTAGGCAAATATGCTTCTATTGACAAGGTCTTGACAATAAGGAGCAAATTTGCCTACTCAGTACTCACTAACTTGGCAACAGTATCTCACTGATTTGTGGCACTTATTCTAGTCAATGTGTATCTTAGTTAGATGTGAAGTTCTTTATTTGAAACTGGATTTCTGAATCTGACTATTGTTTATGTTTGTCTAATGAAAATGATACTGAAATCGATGATCATCTCCTTTTAGTTCTCATTATTGTTATGTCTGTATTATTTATAATAATAATAATAATAGTGGGTTCTTGTATAGCGCTCATGTCAGTCAGATTTGAACCTCCTGGCGCTCCCGATTATTACCCTGGCTTTAGCACGGCTGCCATAGTCTAACTCAGTCTAACTCAATATATCGGAGTATGTAACATCAAATTTATTTTATTTCATTTATTTACCTCTTTTTCTCTTTTTTCTCAATTTTTCTTCTCCATTCTAAATTCTTTCTCTCTTTTGGATTCTTCATGTTTTCCTTCAAATAAATGACTCTCTTTTTCCTCTCTCCCTCCTGGCTCCCTCTCTCTCTCTCTCTCTCTCTCTCTCTTTCACTATTTTATTTTTGCTCTGCCCAGCATGTTGCCCTCCAATTTCTATTTATCATATGAATTTTCATAAACCACAAGCTCCTATAAAGTAGCTCTACAAACTAGTATCTCTGGCTGCATAATGCAGGTGAATTATACACTTGTGGGTAAATGAAATTCACTGCATTAATTTACATATTTCTAAGCGGCAAATTCATGAATGTGCTCTTTATTTGTCTTTTTTCCTTATTTTTTCAGCTGATGCAGGCATCTGAGGAAAAGCGAAAGCAGCTTGAGAGAGATTATGAGGAGGCGCTTAGAGACCTGCAGGAAAGGCAGAGTGAGATCAGAATGATGCAAATGGTAAGGAGAACGGAAGAGAGGTGGAGAGAGGGACAGAGTGAGAGAGAGAGAGAGAGAGAGAGAGAGAGAGAGAGAGGGGGAGAGAGAAAAGGAGAGGGATGGAGATCAGATGATAGAGAGAGAGAGAGAGATGGAGAGAGATGGAGAGAGATGGAGAGAGATGGAGAGGGAGAGAAGGAAAAGAGGACTATAAAGACAATCAGGAGGGATAGAAGAAAATTATTAATATCAATAGGAAGAAATACAATTTTAGATTGAATGTGGGGAAGGGAACTAAGGTTTGAGATAGGAAAAAAGAAAAAATAGAGAGAGAATGAGAAGGGGAAAGAGAGATATCCAAATGGGCAGATAGTGCGAGAGAAGGAGTGCAGGCATTACAAAGTTGTGTCAGTTAAATTTTATGTTTTAAGAAGTTAAAAGTTGTCTCAATAAAAATACATGATGCATTAGCGAAGATTAAAAAGCAGAAGCGGAAAAACAGATTTTAAAAAATTTCTATAGTGTTTGAGATGAGATGAGAAACATTGTCTGCTGTGGACCCGAACTTGTTCTAGTCAATGTGTATCTTGGTTAGATGAGAAGCTGTTTCTTTGAAACTGGATTTCTGAATCTATGACTACCTTTTATGTTTGTCTAATGAAAAAGGTACTAAATTTGACGACCCCCCCCCCTTTCTCTCTCTGGCTCCCAACTAGCAAGGGATATTGATACAGATAAGAAGTACAAGTTAAAGGAGAGACAAAGGCAAGTAACCTTGCAGAGGACAGAGAAAGTGCAGACCACGCTCTATTGAGTGATTTCTTGAGAAGAGATGTAGATGATAAAACCAGTATCATCAAGCTAAAACACTCACTGATACATAGAGATTGTTATCTGATATCGGTATCCATCATTATTCAAGAGATGAACAAGGATCAGATATCCATGCTTCCGAGTAAGAAAATAAACACATTCCTCTCTTTCACCCTCTGAGTTTCGTGAGGATTCATGAAGACCTACATCGCAATAGAGAGGGGTACATTCTTAAAGTGTATTCAAAGGAAGAAAGAAGAGGCCATTTAAAAGCCTGTTTAGAGTACTGAATCTTATGTTGTCTGCAAGAGCTAGAAGGTCATTAACTTCAGTGGCTCATTGGTAGAGCAGTGGTCTCGTAACCAGGAGATGTCAGGTTTGAAACCACCTCATTGCGCAAGTACCCTATGGTGTCAAAAACATCAATCCTTGTTACCACGTCCCCCAGAGAGGACTTAGAGCCATCTGTCTATGATTGCTTACTTGCAAGCATACACATGTTTTCTTAGGGAAAAACAAACCAGTAAACTAAACCATCTAATTAATCAATTTCAGAATTTCACTGGAAAATAATTTTCATTCTCCCATTTCTCCTTATTTGGGCTCAATACTGTGAACTGTTCTAAAAAAAAATAAAATATGTACCTTGCACTTAAAAAGTTGCTTTGTTTCTTTGGGGAGTTGTTAATACAAAGTCGTTTGCATATTTATTCTGACATACTGCATTTGCATTATTCTTTGGGTGTTGTATGAGATGATCCTATAAAGTCGCATGGCTGGACTCTTCCCATTTTCTTCAAGAAAAAACATACTTGTTGACTAAATGGCTCTATAAAGACGAGGCATATAACCATCATCACTCACTGCCTCTTAGCTTTGTCGTCCACTTTCAATCTTCTCTGTGATTTACTGGGACTTGGATATCAGCCTTTCGTCTACACCTTTCAGGTGTCAGTGCTAGAGGGCGGTAAGAGCAACCACACTTCTTTCTGGTTGTCATAAAGAGCAAGCCTTCAGATGTAATCAAAGTAATTTCAGTTTTTCCCTCAAGTGCTCAAAGGGACACAGCCGTGCTCTTTCGTGGAAGGTGACGGCGATGATTTTTTGTTGATGTCCATATTTCTCATTTGTTTTTATTCCTTTCATTGTAATATCATTTTCTCTTGAAGTTTTGTAAATGCTGGCAATTATGTTCTTCGTTTTTGTTATCCTTTCTTCTGCTTTGTCATGTTATTTGTATGATCTCTTTCTTCCTCTTCGATTTCATTCTTTTTGTTTGCCTTTCTTTTCTCGCTATTCCTACTACCATCTCTCTATTTCTTTCAAACACTCTCTCTGTGTGTCATCTCTCAACTATTTTTATTCCCCCCCCCCCCCCTCTCTCTCTCTCTCTCTTTCTATCTATGTCTCTCTGTGTGTCTCTTTCTCTCTCTCTCCCTCTCTCCTCTCTCTCTCCTTCTCTTTCCCTCTCTCTCTCTCTCTCTCTCTCCTTTCTCCTTCTCTCTCCTCTCTCCTTCTCTCTCCTCTCTCTCCTCTCTCTCTCCTCTCGCTCTCCTCTCCCTTTCTCTCTCTCTCTTTTTTCTCTCTCTCTTTCTCTCTCTCTTTCTCTCTCTCTTTCTCTCTCTCTTTCTCTCTCTCTTTTTCTCTCTCTCCTTCTCTCCTTCCCCTCTCTCTCCTCTCCCTCCCTCCTTCTCTCTCTCCTTTTCTGGGTCATCCTCCATACATTTCTCTCTATTCTCCTTTCTTCTCTCCTTCTGTCTTGCAGAAAATTCGCTTCTTAACCCTTCATTACAGACCTCCATTCCTCCGCACAAAAGTCCAAGGCAAATCAGTGATTGGCTACAGATCCCTGTGGGGCACGCAAATGATATCAATTCATTCTTATAATTGGAAAATTATAAATTTGCCTCTAGAAATGAATCTGAAACTGTTATTTCCTCGAGTACTCTATAAGGTTCGATGATGAGACAAAAGTTGAAAAGCAGCAATCCATGTTATGAAGCAAATCATAGGTTATAAGTTGAATTTGCTTCTTTTATAATGGTCCTTGATCTCACTTGATAATCTAACGCATGAAACAAAATGAAATCATGATCCTTCTGGCAAAATTGTAAGCCCATTCTAAGTAACAATCTTACCCAAAAGATTATTTGTCAGAATTTCTTGTTTCAAAAGATAATTGTCAATTCTAGTTATTCCTCCTAACTGCCTTTGGAAAGTTACCTATAACATTACTATCTCTATTAAAGATTTGTCTTTTGTAGAAGATTTTATGTAGGACTATGAGCAATATGTTGTTAATGTCAAAATACAATTTTATATTGAAGAATATATTTATCTTGTGAGCAAGTAAAAAAAAAAATGTTTGTTCTTCAATATTTCCTTTTAAAAGAAAAAACGAACTTGTTTTTTTAGCAGGTTACACCCTAAAGTAAAATCTATCTGTAAGACTCAAATGACGATCCCCATCCTTGACTATCTTCCCAAATCTACATCTGCCTTTAAAAGCTTTCACTTGTTGATGTGAAAAGAAAGCTCTTTTTGCTATTTGTTAGCGTAACCTTCTTAAAGGTATCATATACACCAGTTTCATCATTATTACTTCATTTTCCTGGAGCACATTTCTAGTGTCCTGCCTGAGGTGGGAGGGTCGTTGAGTTCAAGTGACCCCCTATACCCAAGCATTCACCTACATGTAGGTATACAGGTTGCTATGACTAGACTTAATAGTTCTTGTTGAAACCCTCGCTTACATAAAGTGTCGTAGACCGACCAAAACCTTCTTCAAAGTAACATATCCCCTATTTTAATCATCTTCATTTCATTTTACGGGAGCACATTTCAGGTGCCCGGCCTGTGGAGGGAGTGTTGGTGAGTTCAAGTGGCCCCCTTGTCCAAGTGGTGTGCACAGTGTGCAGGTTGCTATGACCAGGGTTAATAGTTCTTGTTGAAAGCCTCGCTTACGTAAAGTGCCGTATACCAGACCTTCTTAAAAGTATCATGTCACCCAGTTTCATCATTATTACTTCATTTTCCCTGAGCACATTTCAGGTGTCGGGCCTGGTGTGGGTGCCTATTCAGTTCAAGTGCTACCCTAACCCAAGCAGCCTCCTTTATGAGCAGTATGCCTAGGCCAGGGTTGTAACTCTTATTTAAAGCCTCGCTTACATATGGCATGGTAAACTGAACCGCTTTAAAGGTATCATAGCCCCCAGTTTCATTATTACTTCATTTGACTGAAGCACATTTCAGGTGGTAGGCCTGTGAAGAGATGCCTATTGAGTTCAAGTGCTCCCCTAACCCAAGAACTCCCATCGGTGAGTCGGGTGTTAGGGTTAATCATTCCTGTATTGAGCCCTGTTCACACGTAGCTTGGTAAAAACTGCCCTGGCCAAATGAAATGGCATATGGTTAGTCCATTTCACATTCCTGGAGAAAGTAACAGGTTGTGTGGATTGCTTAGATTAAAACTGTTGCATTGTGGGAAGTGCTTGTGGCATTTCGCTTCATGAGAACCCACTGTTTTTGTAAAGAAAAGGGAGAGGCGGTAAAGAAAGAACAACATGCCATCATCCGCTGAGCAGTAAGAGAAGAGGATATGAAGAAAAAAGGAAGATACATGATGAAAGGCGAGGAAGCACATGAAACAGATCGCGTGGGGTGCTTAGATTAAAACTGTTGCATGATGGGAAGTGCTCTCGGCATTTCATTTAATGAGCACCCAAATAGCTTTTTCCAGTCTACAGCTTTACAGGTGAAGAGCCCAGAGGGGTGTAAGGACACGAGTGGCCGCTCCCATCAGTTGGCCCCCGAAACCTCTTCCCTTCTAGCAGTAATTGAAGCTATTTATTACTTGACACTCTAGGGTCTTGGGAAAGGACCTTCTATTCCAAGCATCTATATATCCTCCGCTGCTGAGAGGAAGAAGGACATTGGATCATATCGCTATATACACAGAGTTAATGCCCTTCTGGCTCTCAGCAGCTGACATGGCTCTAGGAAGAGCTCCATCAGTTTTTTAGAGAGTGAAAAGTTAATAAGCTGGACTATTTTGTCAGCCATTTTGTATTCATGTTGCTCAGTGATAATCTGTGATATGAACAACATGAGTAGAATACATATGAATGAATTTTTATAATTGTTGTCACTCAAGGTCTTTAATTTGAACATCATTCTTTTGTCATTATTCCTATACTCTTTTCTTTTTTAAATAGTATGATGCATGGGCATAAATCTGCAATTGATACCTATTGTTCAGGGGGGGGGGATGATCTATTCATTCATCCCCCCCTGAACAATAGGTATTACGTAAGGATTTACGCCCATGGTATGATGGATCATAGAAAAAAATGGCAATCTCTAGAACAATGAGAAAATAAAATGCAAATCTTTGCAACAAAAAGGCACTGATAACAGATGTTTCATAAAATTGACTATGCAACATCGAAGGGCCTTTTGTAATTTTTTTTCTTCCTGTTCTTTTTTTAATGCAGATCTATTGAAGCCATACTTTGACGTCTTAAGCAAAACATTTGTGTAAAAATAATTTGGATTGAGAGAATGAACAATGTATAAATACATATTATGAACATGCGTGTCTGTAGGAAACAAAATCTGCAAAATGCAGGCTGGTCAACAAATGAACTACATACCAGGGACCCGATTCACAAAGCCTTTTTTCAATGACAAATTACAAATATCAGTGACGAATCTGCTGATAACCAATCAGAAGCAAGGATTTCACTAGCTTATAACAAAAACTGTCATTTGTCACATGATGTCAAATTTTGTGAAACACCCTCAGTTGTGACATCCTATTTTCTATTTTCATCCCCTAATCATCTTTCTTTCTTTTCTGTCTTTACCAGGCCCAGGATGAGGTCATGACTCAGAACCGAGATGTCGTGTCCAGACTAGAACACAAGGTCCAGAACCTGGAGAAGCAGTGGACTGAGACCCGTCAGAACTCTGGTAGGAACGCTGCCGAGCTGAGTGGGCTCCGCCAGCAGACACACTCACAGCTGCAGACGCTTGTGTCTTCCGGGTCGAGGTATGTGTGTATAGGTAGTGATGCTAGGGTGGTTTAGTTGTCAGGCTTTAGGACTCGCTGTATGAAAGTTGCGGGTTCAACCCCTATACAAATTTCAGTACGCTAACACGCGAGCTCGTCAGCGTGCTCGCCCACGAGTTCGTCGACGAACTCGCAGACGAACTCGCAGACGAACTCGTTTCGTTCCAAATATGCAAATTAGCTACGAGCATGCACGCGAGCTCGTTGACGAGCTCGTTGGCGAGCTTGTTGGCGTGCTCCAAATATGCAGCTCGTCACTGGCCGATAAGCTCGTTGGCGAGCTCGTTGGCGTGCTCGTTGGCGAGTTCGTACGAGTTCGTACGAGTTCGTCGACAAGCTCGTCAACGAGTTCGTCGACAATCTTGTGGAAAAAAAATGGCTGCGAGCTTAATGGCGTGCTCAACAGCATGTTGGCATTAGGGACTTTTAGATTTGCGTGGACTGAAACCTGTGACGTCCATTGAAGGCAGTGCATAAAAAGGACGTCGACCGTAGCAATCCACATTGTCTTCGTGCAAATCTAAAAGTCCCTATTGAGAACTAATTTGTGTCTACATATAGAGGTGAACTTGATGATCCTGTTGAGCTATTGGCATGCATATATATTTATCTAACTTATCAACCTTCCAATATCCTGTTAACATCTGCAGGCTGGCTGTGCAGGGACAATTCAGTTGGCAAGCTGGTGAAGAATACAGTGATCCTCTTTAGAATAAGGGAAAGTTAAAAGCTCATTACTTCTGGGATATCAATCAATGAAAACACTAATATATCAAAGTATACAGAAAGAAAAGATATAACATAAAATATAACTTACAACAAGTATCTTTTTATTAGAGTCAATACAAACCCTGTAAAATACATGTTACCTGTATGCAGGGTTCACAACTTCACACAACGATATGAATGAATAAATGATTTCCAAATTATATAATTACACTGTATAATGAAATTAAATATGTGAGTAATACACTGTATAATACTCTGCCTTTGAAGAAATATTATTATCCATTTTGGTAATTATTCCATCATTCTAATCACTCATAATATTACAAAGATCCAAACTAATAAAGCGGTATTCATACAATAACTATATAGCATCCCCCTTCTTGTCAGTGTATTCACCAACCCAGGGTACCAAGTAATGATATTGATACATGTACATATACTATAGGATCTCTAGAACAATCCCTTCTTTATATCCGCTAGCAAACTAGTTTTCAGTATTCAGACAAAATGCATTAATGTGCTCTCATGTTGCCTAAATGATAGGGTTTGTCAGTCAAGATACAGGAATATTTACATGAGTATAACCTTATCACATAGATTATATCTAATGTTACTTTAATGAAGTGTATATACTATGTGCTATATAGATAGAGAAACAAACTTCCCAATATGTGAAAAGATATCTCACTAGAAAGAGAATAAATACTTTATCTCATTAATCATTACTCTACACTTCTCTTTCATAAATGTATAAGAGAGGTAGGCCTAACTGTTGGCCTATAAATACACAAGTAGAACATTTAGTTATAAGGTGTGAGGAATTAGTTTTTCTCTTACCTAAAACAAAGGAGCTGCAATACCATTCAAAACCCATGTCTGCTCTCTACAAAAGCAAGATGGAGAAAGACTTGCCCAAAGTGGCCTATAACTAACACATCAATTCATTCTTATCAGGAATGCTACCAGTGGTAATTCCACAAGAGAGAGTAAACAAGAAAGTGAGAGTGGGGAGAAGAGAGGAATAGAGATTTGTGTCTTAGCACTGGGGAATCCTATGTACTATTAAGGAGAGAGCAAGTTAGAAACAGGGAGTTGACCTCGAATCAAGGTCTGGGTGTGTGCTCTTATGTAATACCTGATAGTGACATTTCAAGGTGTTAAATATATGATACAGTCAGAATAAATGGCAACCCCCCCCCCTCCCCAATCTGGTATGCTGCAAATAAATGTTTCAAAGTTTCAAAAGAATTTAATTAAATTTACAAGTAATTTGACAGGTTACTTCAGCATCAAAAAGCTATTGTTTCAATTTCAACACAAATTTTCTGAACTTTCAATGTAATTGCATATACAATTTATGTTCTGACAAAGAGGCTCAAAAATGTATCAAAATAATAAAGTATGCATTTGTTTACCTTAATTATTTCAGGTGAGATATATCTTCAGATCAATATTTTTTTTATTTAAAAAAAAATTACATAAAAAGGATGCTGGTGGAGACAAGAAACTAGGAAGTAGGAACTCATTTTCCTTGGCCCAAGACATTTTAAAAATACATGTACATATATTAATAGAATAAATTAAAGAAATTGGCATCCTGAAGGGAACTTTAAAATACTTTACAAATGAAATGCATTGCATATGTTTTTTGCAGAAGCAAAGTCACAAGCAAACACACTAACAATGTTCGTTGATATTTTATATTCAATTTTTGATATGTGTGGCATGATTAATTTTGTTTGGGATGTTATGTTGATCTGTAATGACTGAAATAATTCCCACATCGCAATTGTTTTATTCAAACATCACATTAGCAACTTTGGCGCAAGTCGATTTTTGCACTCTCGCATACAATGCCTCCTGTTCATCCAAACATACCACACAAAAATGATACTAAATGATTCAAGATAAAACACTCTTTCATAGAATGTATAATAATTTACTGTTCACAGATAATTTTTAAAATAATTAGCAATTTTCTAGGTGTAAATTTTTTTGGGACTCACACTGTATACCTAACTGTTTTCCTGGGAGCTGGATCACCTGTTTACCAGCGAGATCGTGGCGAGCTCTGGGGAGCTCGCCACGAGCTCCTCAGTGTAACCCCGAGCTCGCCACGAACTCCCCCTTTTACCCACGAGCTCGCCACGAGCTCCCCCTTTTACCCACGAGCTCCCCACGAGCTCCCGAGTTTACCCCCGAGCTCGCCACGAACTCCCCCTTTTACCCACGAGCTCGCCACGAGCTCCCCAGTTTACCCCCGAGCTCGCCCACGAGCTCCCCAGTTTACGCTCGAGCTCGCCACGAGCTCCCCCTTTTACCCACGAGCTCGCCACGAGCTCCCCCTTTTACCAACGAGCTCGCCACGAGCTCCCTCTTTTATCCACGAGCTCGCCACGAGCTCCCCAGTTTACCCGCGAGTTTGCCACGAGCTCGTGGCGAACTCGTGCACGAGCCCGCCAAGATTTTGTAAGATCGTTACAAGCGTCCTGGGAGCGTGTTACGAGCTTAAAGCCTTAAAAAACGATCTTATTAAGCTTACCACGAGCATAATACGAGTTCGCGACGAACTTAAATTTGTATAGGGGAAGCCAAAGGAGTGGAACTTGTATAAATGATTTTGTTCTCAGCTTGTGGAAGTTTTTTTTTTTAAAGTAAGGTTACCTCAGGAACAATTTTTAGTCCTGTTTAGAAATTATTTCCCTTGAAGCAACAAAATATTGAAATGAACGTGTGAGGGAACTTTAATAGTTGGCATATTACATGTTTATGATAGTTATTAAATGGCCTTGCCTGCCTTTGGAATACACCATGAATTACTATGAACTTGGTTTATACAGCCTTTAAATTTATGAAGTATGTCATTCATTTCATTTCATATTTATTTCACCATTAAAACAAACATATACCATACAAGATAAAGGAATATAAAATAAATGCATTGCCTAGCTCCATACGCAAAACAATCTGATGTAAATACTTCTTGTGTAGTCCCATACATTCATTTTTCTGATGTTATGTCATTGTTCCCTCATAGATCAACAACAGGACAGAACCCAGGTCCAGCCACAGTCAGAAGCAAAGAAATGGAGAAGGAAGATTGGAAGAGGATAGGGGAAGAGGCCATAGTGACAAGGGCTCCCTCTCAGGTGACGGCAGAAGCTTCCGGTCCAAAACCAAAGTCACAAGGTAAGCGACGCATGGAATCATTCTTTGTAATCGCCATCGTTTTGGCCAGATAACATGTTTATTACGGTACTCATTTTCAGTACTTTGTGAAGTTGTTATTTTGCAAGGCTATGTTGAGATTGGGTAGGATCTTTGAAAGTTTTGTTCTTTTGTAACATCCATTTTATTCAGTTAGCATTGTTATTGGGATGGTCTACTTCTCCAACCTCACCTTCATCCTCATCTTCATCTTCATCTATATCCTCATCCTCATAAACAAGTTCTGTCACCATGAATATCCTACCCCCAAAATCCATGACATCCCTCTCTTATCCCTTGAACATAGTGCATCCAACTTCGTTTTGAAGATATCGCAATAGTATCGAAGCAAAAGGGTCCCCCAGTTTGCATTTACCCTTTGTATATATGATCCATACGGAGGGTACATTTTGTATTGTCCCATTCCCTTAACACACTAGCCTTGTCTCTCCTGTCAAGCTTTGTAAGATTATCTGGATGCGTAGAGTATGTCTCAAACCTCATTCAGATACGAAGAGGTAATCGCCCCTAAAAAGAAAAAAAGAAAATCAACCGTAGTATAAAACCTTTTTTTATGTATAAATGAGTAGCATGCAGAGGTGAAAAAATGTAGATGCATACACAATAACGACTTACTAGCGTACTCACATATTTGTGAAGAACAATATACCAAGAAAAAAGTATGAGTGCATGTTGCATATGCCCCATGTTATTTCGCTGTGGCTTGTTTTTGAGACGGCTTACCACGTCGTGTATGAACAAGGCTTAGGGAAGAGCCACAGGTTATTTTTCCTTTCTCTCTTTTGTTGAGCTCCTCAGAGTAACAGACTCTGACAGCCTTTTGATACCTCTTCCCATGTTGTGTATGAACAAGGCTGTGGGAAGAGCCACAGGTTATTTTTCCTTTCTCTCGGTGGTTGAGCTCCTCAGAGTAACAGACTCTGACGGCCTGAGCTCATTCAAACTTCCCTGGAGAGCCGGGACAGCGTTGGCTGGCTGGCGGTGCATATATAGGCCCGGCTTACCATGTCGTGTATGAACAAGGCTTTGAGAAGAGCCACAGGTTATTTTCCCTTTCTCTCGGTGGCTGAGCTCCTCAGAGTAACAGACTCTGACAGCCTGAGCTCATTCACACTTCCCTGGAGAGCCCGGACAGCGATGGCTGGCTGGCGGTGCATGCATGCAGACCAGGCTTCATCAGACAAGTGATTCCCCTGACCGCACTTACACTATCTTTCTCTCTCTCTCTCTCTCTCTCTCTCTCTCTCTCCTTGTCTCTGTCATCTGCTCTTGCTCTTTACATATTTCTTCAGTGCATGCTTAATCTTTATTAATCATTGCTTTAGTATCACTCTGTGTAATCTGTTGCTCTCATTCTTCATGTACATTATCTCTCCATTTTATGTGCAATTGTTCCCCCCCTCTCTCTCTCTCTGTTTCTCGCTTCATTAACATTCTTCATACATGTACTTGAGTTGTTTATCTCTCCCTCTTTTCTCACCCCCCCCCCCCCCTCTCTCTCTCTCTCTCTCTCTCTCTTCTTTAACTTGTCTAATAGTTAGTTGTATCAAACCTATTTTTCCCCTTCTCTTTTTCTCCTTCTCTTTCTCTCTCTTTATGACCATATAATGTACATGTTCTGGAGGCTATCATACAAGAATATGCTGTATTACGCTTTTGTATTGAAGCGTAATACCGCATATTCTTCAAATTCTTCTTCTGATTTGTCTATACTGGTCATTCTGCTTCACTGGTGTAAATCACTCTGACAACCATTATCATTTATGGATGTACATGCATCCCAAGAGAGCAGTAGAGAACTCTCTCTCTCTCTCTCTCTATCTCTCTTTCCGTCTTTCTGTCCCCCCTCCCACCTCCCCTCACTATCTGATTTGCTATTGCTACATCTTATTTTGAAAAAAATGAAATATGAAGGCTCATTCTCCATTCTTTTTAATGAAATGTATCCTCTTCTACTTCACATATATTTGATTTTTTTTTTGCCTCCCCAGCTTTAGTTTGTCATCATCACTATCATGTTTATCGTCATCAGCATCATCTTATCACCGCTATAATCATTATCATCACAATCGTCTTCGTCATCATCATCATCACCACAATCTTCATCTTCATCATCATCATCACCATCATCGCCATCATCATCCTTTATCATCACTAACACCATCAACATCACCCTTACCGTCCCCATCATAATCATCATCTTCATCTTTACTACTGCTATCACCCCCATCGTTATCATCATCATCACCATCACCATCACCATCATCATCATCATCATCATCATCATCACCATCACCATCACCATCATCATCATCATCATCATCATCATCATCATCATCATCATCTCAATCGTCATCACTATCACGACTACTATCATTATTACTCTCTGCGTCTGCTGTTCCCTGTCTGCTTAAACCCTGCACCCAAGCTACTTAATATATTAACGTCTATTCAATTTCAGCAGATCCCCAGATAGCCATGTCTATCCTTCCCTCTCAGGGGACTCCCCACTAGACATCAACTCAGACAGATTTATTTCCAGAGTTGGCCTCTCTAAGCACATTCACACTGGTCAAAAACATCACGTTTTCTTCATTTCGAGTTTTCGTCGTCCTTTTTTTCCTTATAATTTTCCTCAACATTTTCATTCATCAACTTTTATCATTTTCTTCATCATCTTTACATTTTTCTTCTTCTGAATTCTTCATCTTTATTTCAAGGACTCGGAAAACTACTTGTTATAATTTGGTGCAAACCCATTTGTTGATTGTGATTGAAATCTTACCCCAGGTCAGCATTAGTTCATGAAATGTGGCTATATGATGTTTTCATATTTAATGATACATTTATTCATTTGTGTTGTTTGTTTTGTAGATGCAGCTGATTTATCACAAGGGTCTGAGAGCTCTCAAAGATCAGCTGCCAGAAATGGTCAGGTAAGCAAACCGATCTTTGTATTCCATTTGTTTTCTATCTCAGTTTTTTTTAATGATCTGTTTCTTTCAATCTCCCCTTTCTTGCTTCCTTCTCTCACACTCTCTCTCTCTCTCTCTCTCTCTCTCTCTCTCTCTCTTTCACACACACTTTCTCTATTTTTGTTTAATTCTTTCTGTATTGTATTCCTTCAGATCTGTTTTTGAAGATTTTTTTTTAATACAAATTCATTACAACTTTCCCCAACATGAACTACCTCACCATTGATTTTCAGACGGATTCTATCAGTGAGCCAGGGGATCTCTTAGACGAGCTCAGCGACAAGATAGACCAGGTCTTGCTCAACAAACTTCACCACGCCTCCGTCTCCTCCGGACCAATCAGCAAGCTGGCTGTCTTCATCGCCCGCTACAACTACGAACCCTCCGCAGACTCCCCGAACGACAACTTTGATTCCGAGCTTCCACTAACGGCTGGCGACTATATATATGTTTATGGTGACCCTGATGAGGTAAGGCTTGCAGGGATGCTGGTGGCGGTGCTGGTGGCGGTGCTGGTGGCGGTTTTGGTGCTGATGTTGATGGCGATGTTGATGGTGATTGTGATGACGATGATTATGAAGATTTTGAAGATGATGATAATGACTATGATGATGATGGTGAAGGTGATGGTGATGGGGATGATGAGTATAATGCACAGACTATGATACAAATAATTGAAATTTCTCCCAGGAAGCATTACATTAGAAAAAAGATCATGATACTAATTGTGAATAAGTTAATGATTATAATGGAAAAAATATCAATAACAATCATTTTGATTAAATAGAAACAACATTTCAGAGAAGTTACCTGTCCAATCTCTTATATCTCTTCTCTCTTTGTAGGATGGTTTCTTTGAGGGTGAACTGATGGATGGAAGGAGAGGTCTAGTCCCTTGTAACTTCATTGAAAGAATAGCAGGTAAGTAACTCTACTTTAACTCTATTTTTCTTTATCTTCACAGTTTTATGTAAATCTTGATTTCAAAATGGGCATTTAAAAAAAAAAAAAAAAAAAATATTGATTTTGTCCAAATTTATTCTGTTTTTCACTGCCTTCATTCTCAATGTCAATAAAACAAATGAGTGCATTGGTTCTAGAGGTCTTACTGGATTTGGCACAGAGCTGATATTTTCTATTACAGTTGTACTGATGTAAATGAAAACGACCCAAGATTTTTTACAGAAGCTGGTACATGTACATCAACTGCAGATTTAAAATGCATGATTCTCTGGAGCTTTAAAAGATGTGGTGAAATTTCTTAGCAGAATGACATTGTTATTTTACTTTATTTGATGTGTAGGATGAAATTTGAACACAAATTATTATTAGAAATGAAACAATGACATGATGATTCAATTTGTAGCTTTGGAAAGTAGACAAAGGTTCTATACACCCCACCCCTCACCTTCTCCTACATTACAGATAGCCCTTGCATCCCAATCTTGAAAGTTTCAAAGAAAATAATGCTTATCAACTCTTCTTTATGTTCTGTACTTTGCATCTATTGCCCAAGATGCAAATGATCTTTTAGGAGATGGAGGTAAAAATTAATTCATTTTTGCCAAAGCCACAGAAACGAGAACTTTGCTGTATCTCATGTTCATGAATGCTTTGAGATATGTGCACCATCAGATTCATGTGATCATATGTGGCATTCTCACCAAAACACTCTATCAGATCATACAATGGGTTTGATAAATAATCAGGCGCACAGATTGTACACCCCCCCCCCCCCCTCCTCCCCAATTGTTTTATTTATGTTATTATGGCTCCATTTTCATTTATTATTGGTTTCAGTAGGATTAAGTTCCATGTCCATTAAGCTTACTTCCCATCCTTTTCTGTTGCTAAATCATACCTGATTCATCAGGTCAAATTCATCATTTTTCCTTTCTTTGCTTTACAAGCAGCTGTTTTTGTTTCTCAAGTGAATTATTTGCTTTCCTTTTTTTCTCCCTTTCATTTACTCCATTTTTTTAAACTTCTCTTTTCATCACTGATTCTCCCTTGTTTTCTGCTTGATCTTCTCATCCTCTGTCTACTTCTTTTACTCCTGATGTTTTATCATTTTCCCCTATTCTTGTAATCTTTTTATACTTGCTAATGAATCATAACACTGTAAGTGGGTTTTTCATTGTAAAGGGATTTTTAATTGTCCTGATTCTCTCCCTTTTGTTTTGTCTCCTTAATTCTTGTTCTATTTCTTCTTTAGATCTTCTACGTAATTTGAAAGGGGTATAGATTTGTCTGTAATCTACTTCTTGTACATCTCCATAATTCTGCTCCATTTCTCCATGTGTCCTGGGATTACAGTGTACACCAATCTGCTCTAATTTAGCCTCCTTTCAGATTCTTTCCAGAAAACAAGAAAATCATTTACTTCCCTTCTCTCTTTATACTTAAAATGTATCATCCATGTCATCGATCATTCTAGCTCCTTATGAGAATCTAGAAGTCTTTCATCACTCTTCATCTCTCTCTTCCTTTGAAACCCAACATACATGAGATTTACATTATCCTGGTACAGATAAATAGTACCTCATCAGGCACATCATGTTAGCTTTTGTTATCATATCGCACGCAAATCCACTGGTTTTTGCTGGTTGCATAGAGGTAGAACATCATTGGCATGTCTTTTTTATTTTCTTTTTTTTTCTACTTTAAAAACTTCTTGGGTATGGAAATGAGATTTTGTAGAAATACAGTTAAAAGTTCTGATGCCATGAACTAGTTTTCATACACATCTATTTTACCTGTCTGTCTCTGTCTCTATCTCTCTCTCTCTGTCTTTCTCTCTCTCTGTCTCTCTCTCTGTCTCTGTCTCTGTCTGTCTGTCTGTCTCTCTGTCTCTCTCTCTCTCTCTCTCTCTGTCTCTCTGTCTGTCTGTCTGTCTCTCTATCTCTCTATCTATCTACTTTTTACTTTCCTGTATCCTTTCGGTCTGTTTGAATTGTTCTTTCTTTGGATTAAAAAAAAAAGACATCCAACTTGACCCATTTAAGCATTTACTTTCTTTCTCTTTTAACACCTGTACTATATATATATATATATATATATATATGAGAATTTACACATACATTGAAAGAGTTCATTGTTATACTCTCATGAGTCAAGTGGGCCATTGATTTTCAATAAACTTTCATCAAGCATTCAGATATTCTTGACTCGGCTTGACATGTTGAATTCATCGCTACACTGATCTGATTATTTTTTTCAAAACATTTATCTTTTTTTTTCAACAGAGGAGAACCTTCCTGATTTTATGCAATACAATGGATCGCAAGGAGATGGTGAGTGTACACTATTCATATTAATTAGATACATTTCTAAAATCTTTCAATTAACATTTTCTAAAATGCTTTTATTTTTAAATGGTACATATACTTGTGTCATTACTTGAGTACTAGAAAGAAGGAAAAATACAAATACAAAACATCATTTTGTTCCTTGGAATAATACTCGTTAAATCTAGAGTGTCATTATATGAGAAACAACCTAGATGAATCATTATGACATTATTTTTGTATTCATTATACAATTCAGTTTGTATTTTTTTAAAAGATAATAATAATAATAAAATGAACTTCAATTTTCAACAACACCAAAACTACAAATTCATAGATAATGTTAGTTATGTTGAAAGCCAATTTCCAACTTTGTTTTTCTGTCCACATATGTGGTGTCTTGAATTATGGGATATTTATGTCAAACTGAATATATGTTGCATTTTGAATTGCATTTGCTAATGGAGAGATGTTTTCATGCATCACTTATCTAACATTGATGATAATACTCACACGGATTATCATCATTTTTTTTCTTTTATATCACTCCTCTCCTAATCCATCACCCATCCTAAAAACCGCTTATCCTTTTTTTTTAATGCATCTTATCCACATCGCATATCCTACCTGCACTTAATAACAACCTCTATTGATAACCGATTAACCCTCAATTATCCATAAAATTTGTTTGCTATACCTAACTTCTAACAAATCATTCATTGTTTCTTTTAACCATGTGCATTTTGCCCTTGTTTTTTGGTACAACTCAATTAATTTCTTATATTCCATCCGAAAAATTTGTATTGAATCCCAAAATTATCACAAAATTGTCAATACAAATAATTGTTAATTACTTCAATGCCATTTTAAACTTTCAAATCAATATAATTACATTTGATTGATTATTATATTCAATTAACTAATGAATAATTTGCTATTCATGCGCATCATATTTCCCCTATTCTACACATCAACACAATGTGCACATTTCCCTCACATGTGCCCATTGCTTTTGTCAACAAAATAAAACCTGCTCTACCTTATTTATTCCCTTGTCCATTGCTTTAAAAAAAAAAATGTTTTCACCAACCTGCTCACCCCCCCCCCCCTGTGTACCCTGGGCCCCACCCTGCCCCTCACAGACACGGACAGCAGCAGTCGAAAGATTGCCCCAAAGGCCACGCCCTTGGTTGCCAAGGTCCCGCCCATCAAAACCACTGCCATAGCAACCAGCGAAGACACGCCCAAAGCATCTGCAATGAATGAAGAAGGTGCCATGTGCAAACCACCTTTTTTAAATTTGTTTACTTTTTCACATTCAGTTAAAGATGCATAATTTTGTTCATGCCTTATTTGCACATCCTGCAATTTACTGAGATGACATTCAATGTATAGGACCATACTTGATTCACGCATCCATTTGAAAAAATGACATGAAACTCAATATTTGGGACTGTATTATGCAACTTTAGGTTCTTTTTTATAAATTGCATGAATGCTATGTTTCAAATAATTGCCTGTTTTTTAAAAAAAACATTATAATAAGACCTTACCAGGTGTCTCAGTAACCTGGTTTGTCCTCTTTTAAATGCGATTTTATGAATTTTGTCGACCGTAATATACTCTGATTCTGGTGAAAAGAGATACTTTGCACAATGCTTGTGTAATGTCAAGGATGAAAAGATGCATATGAAAATTATTAATTACCTGGCAAATCAAAGACATAATGGATGATGCATGTCATTATTATTTGTGAATCTATGGTTATAGGATATTAGGGAGAGGTGAGTTTAGGGTCTTTTAGTTGTTATCTTGATCTCATCTATTTAATACTAAAGAAATCACAGTTCTGGTTGCTTTTCTTCATTCATTTTTTTTCCAGTTACAAATTAATCGTTTTCATTAACAACCAAGGATTTTTATTTTTATGTTTCCTCTTAACCACTTTTTATGTTTGTATCCAAAGAAAACGTTGATTTATTTCATGTGTCACTTTGTAACAATATACTTTTTACTAACTTATTGTCACAACCTTGAAATAATCAGTCACAATGTTTAGTCCTGTTTCACACAGATGTTCATGGTTTTCATTATTTACATGTTTTTGTGTCTTTATAGAAGAAGATCCACTAAGTGACCTAGACTTCAACAGTGAGGATGCAGATGCAAGGCATTCAAATATGAACCATTTTTCAGGTTGGTTAAAAGATGACACATGTGTGGGTAGTTGTCAGTAGCATGGTTACGAGGGAGGCACATGCTCCCCTAATCAAATGGCAAATGAGGGGAAACAAGAAAAAGGAATAAAAGGGCAAGAGGGAAGCAAACAAATGATGAGACCCCCTCTCATATCTCCCCCCCCCCCCGCCCTCTAATCAGTGATCTTGTTAATTAGCATTTCATCTATTAAGCAACATCAGTGCCCCTTTTCCTCATCTCCCCCCTCCTCATAATGCCATTGCCAGATCCATGCTACCCCTCTGCTTAATCTCATAGTCCATTATCTCAAATGTGCAAGTGTCAGTTATTTTTGCGAGTTTGGGCATATTCCCCAAATCAAATTTCCCCCAAATCTATGCGAATAAAAGTAAATGATAGAGGATTGAAATATTGATGTTTATGATTAAGTGGTCCATTTTGAAGTACATGCATGTAGCAATTACTGAGCAGTTGTCTCTGGGTTCAAAACCAAGTCCATGTGCTAGTGCCCTTTGGTAAGGCATTAATCCTCATTACCAAGACCCTTGGAGAAGACATTAAGCCATTGGTCCCCTGGTTACTTACCTACAAGCATACACATGCTTTCTCAGCATAGGTGTTTTTTTTTTCATTAAAAAAACTTAAACTGTACAAAAAAAAGATCAGAACGACTGAGAGATTTAAATGTTTCTGTAGATTCTACATGTAAAATATGCAATTCTTTAGACTTTTAATATTCATAAACAATTTCATACTCAAAAATAACCTTGATTTTTTTATCTTCAGGTGATCTAGCTTTTGCAAGAGCTCAGAGTGATCATCCAAGTGACCTTGAAGATATCCCGGAGGTAGACGAAGATGATGACAACCATCATTCTAATGCAGCTGGTCGCCGTGGTGATGATGGTAGCCTTGCGTCATTCAGTGATTTTGGCAGCGATGTGTCTTATGTTGGTAGGTTGATTCTGCTTTTGTTTTGTGCAATCTCAGGTTTCTGACAATTGTAGCTTCCTTTTTTTTTCACAGAAGTTTTCTATAGTTTTCAAAATGATTATTTTTTTGCTACCTGTAGGCATCAACAGGAGGTTACTAGAAAGTAAAATTTGAATTTTGTTTGAGTTTATTTCAGTTCAATGATTTGGGGTGAAAATGAAACAAAATAATAAGGTACTGTATGTGATGTGATCTTTATTGCTCTAAAATAAGTAGTTTCCCTCAGTTCCATATTAAAGGTAATACAAAGTTTTGGGAAATTTTGAAAATTGGGTGGATAGTGAATCTTTACAATTTAGATATATTTGGATGCCCCTGTGGATGTATTATAATCACTTAAAAAATTAACCCCTAAAACACTTCTGTTTTCGAGAAAAATTGAATATAAAAATTTACCGGTGCTCCCGGTAAATATTGATAAATTTCAAATAGCCCCTACAGCCGTACAATGGTAGCTTGCGACCATGAAAATCTCAGAATATGTAGCTGTGATATATAATTTCCAAATGGGAATAGCTAATCGGTCGATTTTAGTCAAGAACCATTGTTTCATAGCTAAATTAATATCTTGACCTTGAGAGGGAGCTATACAACATAAAGAGTTTATTATTTATAATTTCATAACTTTAGACTCGATTTCAACCGGGACAACGATCAATGAATATTGAAGGAACGCATATGCTTCCAATATGTTAATTTGAACCAAATTCATGACCCCATACCAAAACTTTATAATACCTTTAACAGTATATTAACAGTATGAAAACACTGATACTCTCATTGTCCCAGGAAGCTGTCTTGAGATCGTCAGTTGAAGCACAGTATAATCATGTTGTGGGTGGCACCTGACACAGTTACCCTGCAGGTGATCCTAGAGTTCCGAGTCTATGTGGATGACCAGTTACAGTATCATACTGCAGATATGTTCACTAATCTTCTTTCCTTTGCTCTTATCCAGTTCCTTGTCCTAGGAAGCTGTCCCTGGATCGTCAGTTGAAGCACAGTGTCATCATGTCGTGGGTGGCACCTGACACAGTCACTCTGCAGGAGATCCTAGAGTTCCGGGTCTATGTGGATGGCCAGTACCGCACTGCCACCAAGCAGGGAGCCAAGACCAGGGCGCTGGTGGAGAACGTGGAACCGGCGGTGACGTACAGGATCTCGGTCCGCACTGTCACGGTTAAGGGCATGTCAGAGGAGGCAGCCTGCATGCTTATCATAGGCAGGGGTGAGTCAAAGTCCCTTGTGTAGGACAGTAGGTCTCTCAGTGGCTTATCCATGACTGTTTGCTTGTTTAATTTTTCAAATTTGAAGTAGGATGTGCAGAAGTCATGGAACTATTACGTATGTTCTAGGAATTTAAGAAAATACTCCTGGTGCATGTACCTTGGAAGTATGCATACCAAAACCTTAGCAAATGCTCCTTTAGACTGTAGGTAATCTTTTACAATATTATATAAAATTTGTAAGCCATGATAATCTACAAGACATTGATCTACAAGACATTGATCTACATTTGTCACACTCAACCCAGGTGATGTAAATGGGTACCTGGCAGAAATTAATTCCTTGAAATGCTAGAGTGCCGTAATGGCAGCCGTGCTAAAGCGAGGGTAATTATCTCCCTCTGCGCCTAAGAATAGTTTACTAGATGGCACATTGCAAATGCTGTAGTATTATTATTTAATTTCCCTCTCTCCTCTCTTTGTGTGACGTAGATGCCTCAGTAGCTCCTACCAATCTGAAGGCTTCCAGCGTTGGTCCTAGCTCAGCCAACATCACCTGGCTTCCAGGAAACACCAATCTTCCACACGTCATCTCCGTCAATGGAGAAGAAGTACGCATCCTCAAACCGGGCATCTTCAAGTATTCACTTTCAAGTAAGTTTGCTCTCTCCTTTGCTCCCTCCCCACCTCCTTTCCTTCCTTCCCTCTCTCTCTCTCTCTCTCTCTCTCTCTCTCTCTCTCTCTTTCTCTCTGTCTCTCTGTCTTTCTCTCTTTCTCTCTATCTCTCTCCATCTCTTTCTGTCTGTCTCCCTCTCTCTGTCTGTCTTTCTGTCTCTCTCTCTCCTTTTCTTTCTGTCTCTCTCTCTGTCTCTCTCTCTCTCTGTCTCTCTCTGTCTCTCATTGTTCTTCTCATACTTGTCTTTCCTTCCTTCTTTCTAATTTCTGTCTTCATATGGTTTTGTCTTGCTCTCTTCTTTTGTGTGCTATCTGTATATCTCCCCTTTTCTCTCTGTTGATGCTCTGTCTCCATTTCTCTATCTATTTATTTTCATTCTTTTATTTGTGGTCTTCTCTGTCTCTTATACTATTAACATCTCTCTTCTTCTTCCCATGTTTATTTTCTATCATTTCCCTTTATCTCTCACATTCTACCTATATGTATCCTTCTCTTTCCTTGCTTGTATCAACTCACTATGAACATGACGGACAAAGAAAGAGGACAAAATATACAGTTCCTCATTCTACCCTCAACAATTGCTGTGGTAAACAAAGGAACATCCCTTCACTGCTATTATGTAAAATAAGTAGAACAGATGAATATGCATGTGACACTTGTTCTACACATTTTTACACAATAGCAGTGAAGGGAAGTTCCTTTGTCTACCACAGCAATTGTTGAGGGTAGAATGAGGAACTGCATATTTTGTACTCTTTCTTTGTCTGTCATGTTCATTAGTAGTCACTATGAACAGTTCATAGTGACTACTAATGATAAACTCTTCACGTTTCTTTCCTGATACTCTCGCAGGTCTCCAGCCCCTCTCTGTCTACCGGATCAACGTGAGGGCCAAGAGCCGCCGCCAAACTGCAGTGGCAGACATCCCTCAAGCAAGCAAGAACTCTGTAGAGATTGAGTTCAAAACCCTACCAGGAGGTAAGCCATGCCCCCATGTTACCCCACCAGGCACCCACGCCCCAGTTGAATGGGTAACAATGCCAAACCCTTATCAAATCAAGTTTTGTTACATTGCACACATTGAAAAACCATAACGACTATACTTAAATTGCAATATGATTTTTCGAAATGATTGTTTAGCAAACTTTATGAATGGCATACTGTTTTTAAATCCAATATCTTTTTGGAGAATGCTGCATTTCCTTTGTTTCTTTCCATTTCTTCTCAAATTTTCATATATAATAGCTAAGCTAATCTAATAATCTCTCAGCTATGTTTTAATTCCTGCATATATCTTTATTTGCACTATATGATACACTATTTAAACATGCTCAGTAGATCTGTGTTTATCCTCATAAAAATGAGTTTGATAATATTCTCATATTTGATTATATGATGCAATTGAAAACAGGATGATATTGATATGGTTATTCTGTATAATAGATTCTCAGGTACCTTGCATTTGTTTTCCATTTGAGTTCAATTAATTTTCTTGCAAATTTTACTTTTTTGGGGACATATATTTGTTACAAAGGTTATCTAGGGTCTGTCACTTCTACTATATAAATGTGGTATCTGATTGATGATCCAAAGACATTCTAACTGTCCAATGTTTTGTTCTATCTGTTTGTCTTCTCTGTCCTCCTCTCTTCTTCTTGCTCACGTTGGCACTATTATTCATTACAAACACACTCATTCAGACCCTTCTAAAGGTTTGTATGGTGCCATGGTGCTGTTAATCTGTCAAATGTTGTTCTTGTTATATGTGTAGAGTATTGTCATTCATGCCCCTAGGAAGAACTGTGTCGTGATAGTTAGATACTCCGACCCCTGCCCCGTCATATTATTTCTCTTCGCTATTATGTAGCAGCTGAACAGTATTATTTTGACGTAGTTGATAAATAGAAAGCCAGGAAATATTTCAAGAAAGATAGTGTGTAATGCTTAACTGCAAACAAATCATTGATTTATAACATTCAAATTATACAAGTATTTTTCATGAAGAAAATGTGAAACTTTTTTTTTCTTGGGGGGGGGGGGGAGGGTAATACTAGACTACATAAAGTAGAGAATTCATATTTTGAATAAAGTAAAAGCACAGAAAACCCATATTATAACTAAAACTCATTGTTTTGTTTTGTTTTTGTTGTAATATGAAAGGAATTACACATATTCTTAGGAAATCAATTTGGTTTTTAATATATGTTTTATATTTTATGTAGTCTAGCTGTATAATTCTTATATGTTTCTGTAAAGTAAATATGACAGTACCCTTGTAATCTGTGACATTTTTCCTTTCAGTAATCTACCATTATATACTTTATTTTCCCATTTGTTTTCAGTGCTAAGCTCGATTTCTGCGATTTATCTGTCTGCCTACAATTAAATACTGCAATAAATATTTAGTCATTTGTCATTCCATCTTAAAAATTAAAGAAAGCAAATTGTTCAGAAATAATGCCGACCATGTACATTTAAAACTTCTGTTTTGAAGCAGCTACTGTTAATTATGATTTTAAAGAAACATTTCATTTCTTTTATTTCTTTGACCCCTTGTATCAATGTTTTCAAGTTCAATCCTCCCCATTATTTCTGATTACCCTTGTGGTGACAATTGTGCGTAAACTTTCAGTGTTTCTATAGTATACGAAATGCAAAGCAGAAACTATTTTGGAAAATACTGTCACCAAAAGAAATATACTCTGTGGTCAGTTCCCTATGTTAAACGATTTTTTAACTTCAGCCCTGGACCAAGAGCTACATCTAACCCCAACCTTAACCCTATATCTATCACAAGCCCTATCTCTGTGAAAAAAATAAAGCCTGGGACAATTGCTGCCAGAGCATATACGACATATTTATACCTTTTGTTTTGCTTTTTGTTAATTTTGCGACCCCAGATATGGGTCCCCAAGAGTAAAATCCTGCAGAAAGAGCAGTTTATACAGCAGTTCAACTTGATACGAGTAGAAATCCCAATGAATGTGCATTGTAAATCCTCATCCAGTCACTAAGAATTGTTATTTGAACTGAAGAGACAATCAACCCTTTAATTTTCATTTCCCCCTCAAGGATTACCGGATGCACCATTAGACGTCCAGGTTAGACAGGCAAACAATGACTCCATGGTGTCTGTGGAATGGTTGCCGGTTACCATAACAACGTCGAGTCTTTCAAACGGTGCCGTCATCATGGGCTATGCTGTCTTTGTCAACAACAACAAGGTGGCAGACACAATGTCCCCTACAGGTACGTGGAGCTATGCCATCTTGATCAGAGCAAACAGACATTTTCACATTATTTTCACATTATGTTATTCCCATTTTCTTTGTATTACCGGATATGTTTGGACCCCTGGAATTTGAAAAGGAAATAAACAATATGAAGTCTTAAAGTTGGCAGCACATCAGTAACTTCAATTTGATTGTTTTTCTTTAAAATTAACAATTTTCACCTGTGGAATATTAAACCCAAGATATCTCAGGCTGGATTTTTCCTCACAAAAATGGTAGGCTACATAAAATATTAGTCTATCCATTGTATTTTGAAGAAAAAAATTGAAACAATTTCCAGTCATCAGTTTTCATATCGGATACAAAGCATTTTGTCGCGATTAGAGAAGCAATAATGGGAAAGTATCAATTTGCCAGATTTGAGGAGCAAAATTTAATAAACTTATCTTTTCATAGATCCCCTATATTGATAGATTAATGACACTCATTCTCAGACATCCATTGTCTTCAATGTTAAATATTTACATGCTGCAAATCATCTGAACATTCCCAAGTTCAAGCTGCATTCATTGTTGAGAATTTGAAATGAAACAAATCCTTGGTTGGTCGATATCTTTCATTCTTCCCTGCATTGCGTCATGTGTCTATGCCATTACAGCTCACCATGTGTGCATTCCCAATTCAAGATACAGTTAGTATTGCCAATTCCGGGAAGAAAAAAAAAAGACCTTGTCCATGATTGGGAAATATATTATATTCTTTCCCTTTAATCCATGATGGTTTTATTCCATTCCAGCTTACCATTTTAATATTCTTAAATATAATCTTTATTCGATGTTGCCAATTTGACACCCCCCTCTCTCTCTCTCCCTCCCTCCCTCCCTCCCTCCCTCCCTCCCTCCCTCCCTCCCTCCCTCCCTCCCTCCCTCCCTCCCTCCCTCCCTCCCTCCCTCCCTCCCTCTCTCCCTCTTGGTGGATGTCTTTCATCATGAATCCTTAATGATTTGCATCTTGTGTTCATTCATTGGATTGCAGCTGACCGTGTGAACATTCCCAAGTCCAAGCTACGCATGCTATCAGCCCAGGAGCTGGTCGTGAGGACGTTGTCTCCCAACGGATGCTCCAGCGACTCCCTGCCGGCCAAGGTCTCATCGGAGCTCCTGGAAGAGTTGAGGAAAGACAAGATAACGGGAAAGGTCGCACCGGGAGGCAAGGTGAGAAAATTACACTGTGAAGCTTGCATTAGGGCAGGTCCAAGGTTTGTCCTACATGTGACCAGGGCCCCATTTCACAAAACTTGTCATCAGTATTAACAAATGACAGTTTTTGTTATAAGCTAGTGAAATCCTTGCTTCTGATTGGTTATCAGTGGATTTGTCACTGAATTTGTCATTTGCCATTGAAAAAAGGCTTTGTGAAATGGATCCCAGGTATATCATTGAGTTGTACTATGACATTGTGAACATAAATTGACATACAAATATAATTTATTTGATGTTTTGTCCGAATCGAGCTCTAGCAGAGCTAACAGCTTGATACGATCATCAGATATATTAAATCTTAGATATGTTTGGTAATATTTGGGTTAATATTCCTTGACTTGCCCATTTATAATGGAAACAAACTTAATTATAAGTTCCTCAGTAGTGATAAATCAAACTGATTCTATGTCTATGGATATTGTTCTCTTTTTTCATATGTACTGTAAATTGAATTTTGCCAACCACCATACACAAACAGGGATGGATTGAAATTTAAATGTTTGTGCCAGTTGAGTGCTCTGAGATAGAATATAGTTAAAAATTAATAGTCTCTAATCTTGTTATCAGCATTGTTGAACCTGAGACTTCCTTAGTGTTCTGGATGTTACTACAAGACAAAATGTGTAAAAAGGCAATGCATGATAATGAAAGGTTTCTGAAATAGCCCTTGTATCAGTACAACTGTGCACCTATGCATTATGGGGAATACACATGTAGATTCTGCTGTGTTGGTACCTCTTAATACTGTACTCTTCAAAGAGGAAAAATGTAGAGTTAAACAAAAAAATGATTTGTATATATTACTACCTGTCTTCTCAAAATGCATGTGCACATTTGTGAAAATTATTCATGAGGTACTGTACCTGCATGTTTTAATCAAGAAAAGAAGCATTGGTTTAAATGGTATGTAAAGGTGATATGAAAGTGTACTTCTCGTATGTTTTGCTTTGAAACTGAGGGCCAGGTGGTACACAATGATACATCAACAATTTATTTATATTAATCAGAACTTTGACATTTCCTCATCTCCCTATACTTTGCATGCCATGATGCTTTGCATAATCAGCGTCCAAAGAAAGTCACCTTTGATGACCCTCTTGTAAGCATCCAGTTCAGTCAGTCCTAATGAGATGATGTGAACTTCTAATATTTCTAACATCCATTAACGATAGTTTAGAAGAGTTTCTATTATTAAAACCAACTGATATACATGTTTATAGCACTAACTGACTGAATTTAGCATTAGAAGTATTGTATTAAATTCCCAAGAAAATGTGAGATCCCCAACCGTATTGACCAGATGTGGATACACATTCATCTTGATGTTGTAAGAAGTTCTGGTGTTTCACTATTTTGTAAATAAACGTTGATGTAAACTGTTTTATGACATGAATAACATATAGATACAGTATATTAACATATCTTGTTACTTCCCACACATTGAATTGCCTGTGAGACCTTACCAAACTACAGTGCGACCCAAAATTTAATGTCAACAATTTTTTGGATATCGGTTTTACTTTTTATGTTACCATTTATAACTTGATGCACTTTTTGTTACTTAGATATGTAACCTATCCCGCCAAATTAATGTTATTTTCTAACAGTTTTAAATAATTGTAAAGTCAACCTGTTTTTAACCTGATAGTTCTAAAGCTTAGTATCAAAAGTATATGTACTTGTACAATTTGTGAGCAAATCATTTTAGTTTGTGTACCTTGCATCTTTTTCTGAAACTGAGATAGATGTCGTGGAACACTGTCCAAATTCTCATGTATATTGGAGATAATGCATCATTTACCAACCTTCAGAGATTTTTTTGGCATGTCCATATGATTGTGAAAGAAATATGCCTTTGAATTATTTAATGATGTATCCAGTTCATCTCATTCTTTAATATCCCTACTGATTGATACTAGATTATCTGCTTGGAGCCAGATGGGGTGTTAACTCATACCATCTAATTAACACAGAGTTAAAGCCCTTCTGGCTCTCAATAGAGGAAATCACCTTCGTACAATTATTAACACAAGTGATTTGAATTATGCGCATTTTAACTTTGTGTGGTGTGAATTAACAGTTTCAACGTACAGGTGACATGCAGTAAACTGACAGTACTTATTCTCCTTGATCTTATTCTTATAGGCAAAAGCAGCTATGTATGCTAATGCTGATGACGAGGATAGCTCTACTGGTAGTACAAGCAGAAGTCTCGGAGGAGGTCGGAGGTTGCCAGATGAAGAAAGCATGCAGAAAGGCAGCCCAAAGGGTGCTTTGAAAGCCGAGGGTTCTCCAAGAGAGGATGCTCTCCCTCTTAAGGTAGCTATCAATGATGATGATGCTGATGATGATGACAATGATGATGATGATAATGATGTAAATGCTGCTGATGATGACGTACAGGTGACATACAGTAAACTGACAGTACTTATTTTTGGCGGTAGTGGTGTGGTGGTGACGTTGGTGGACTTAATGATAATTATGCTGACAGTAATGGTGGTGAACTTGGGTCAACTTGCGCTCAGCTCTGGCAAGAGCTGCCTTCTTTCAAAGACAAGATATCTTGATGAGCCACAACATTGACCTTAGTTTGAGAAAGCGTCTAGTGAAGTCTCTAGTATGGAGTGTACTGTTGTATGGGGCTGAGACGTGGACACTCACTAAAAAGGACATGCAGCGATTGGAGGCGGTCGAAATGTGGTGCTGGCGCAAATTACTAGGTGTGTCTTGGAGGGACAGAGTTTCGAATGAAGAGGTGGTGCATCGAGCTCAAGAAAGGCGGGTGCTGATTCAAACGATTAGAGAGAGACAGAAGAAATGGCTTGGACACATAATGTGGCATGATGAGGGCTTGATGCTCAGAGTCTTAGAAGGTCGTATTCATGGAAAGAAGAAGAGGGGAAGACCTCGTAAAGGCTTTCTAGACGATGTAATCACACAATGTGGAGCAACAGGGTATGAAACGATGAAACGGTTGGCTCAAGACCGAAGAGAATTGAAGAGAAACTTGGAGAGAAACTTGGAGAGACACTTGATATAGAATTTTGAATGGGTCACTGAACCTGTCATAAACTGACAGATCACTATTGATGATAATGAATGGTGGTGATGATTTTATTATTAGTGATGAGGTGTCAGCGATGATTAAGTTATGGTAATTTGATTTATAGGAAATATGCTGCTGATGGAGATTGCTTTGCCAGTAAGGATGGTAACAAATGGCTATGAGGATCATGATTATTAAAGACACTTTTTAATGAACAAACACATCTTTTTTGCCTGCCAACAGCCCATCATGAAGACAGAAAAGTCAGGTACCTTCAGAGAATCGGACTATATGTCGGACAGCGACCGTTCAGAGCTCTCTGACATCCTGGAGGAAGTCGAGGAGGAGGTCTCAGAGTTTGGTAGTGCAAGCCTTCCCGGTCTTAGCGATAGCAGCGAAGGGTTGCGATCATCAGGGAGGAGGAGGATGAGAGGAGACGACGAGAAGAAAAAGGTCCAGGAGACACTTCAAGTACTGCAGGCAAGTTCCTTTCACTTATATCTTGTAACCTTCTGCAGGAATCCCAATTTTTCAGTCTTTCGCCTGATCTCACACCCTGTAAGTTAGCTGTCTTTCAGCCTTCTACCAATTGTATGCTGGCTAATGTGGTAAAAGCTACTGGTGTCCTTGCGCATTCATTTAAAGCCCCACTGCACTACTTATAGCTTCTTGTGCCCTCTACATGTATATAGCAAACAATGCCTAATCGGTGACCATTGGTCCCCCATGATCCCCTTTTTCTTAATTGAGAGCTGATTTAATGAGATAACCACCTGTCGGTGGCCATGGTGGGAGGTGTAATTCCTCCTGGCCAAACTAGTGCAGAGGGGCTTAACATGATCCTAGACACTATCAGGAAATTAACTTGAGTACAACGTTATTACCATCTTATATAATATTTTTGGGTGATATATGCTGTTAAGCCCTCTTGTTGGGTTGCATAGTGTCCATAGCTGATGCACTAGGACTATTTTATTTCATGATTGATGATTATCTGTGCTTGTGGTCTTATAAGTATGAGATGGAGATCTATTCAAGGTGCATAAAAACCTCTAGTTCTGAACCAAGCTCAATATATTTTCATCAAACAATTTCAAGAAAGTTTCATGTGATGTTTCAATGTTTCTAAAAAAATTCAACACTTCGTTTGATGATCGCACTGATTGGGTAATTTTTTAATGAAATTTATAAATTCTAAGCTGCAGCTATCAGTTTACTAAGAGTTCCACCGCAGCCACCCCAAAATTGTTCTTACCAGTTGATATGTTGTTGGAGATACAGTATTGTGTGCCATGACTGATAATAATCCTCCATTATTATATGAACAGTACAACACCAAGCCACAGCTAGACTTTGACACAGACCCAGAGGTGGAGTCGTTGAACAAACCGGACAAAGTGGTTCCTATACCCATCATACGATCTCAGAGGGACTATGAGAGAGAGACGGAACAATCCCCCCACAACCCAGTGGTAGAACCCGTGCCATGGAAACCAGCCAAAAAAGTACCGCAAATTGGTAGGTCAAAGGTTACCCTTCAACATGATTTTTATTTGATCAATTTATTTACCAACAGCAATACATTTCATACAATAATTTGACATATACAAGAATAGAAACTATTGGTTGTTAAAAGGGGCCAGATAATAGCACATGTGCTAGTCGAGCCTAACCCCTTAAACAGCTAAACAAAGTATTTTGGTACAAATCAGTTTAGAAAACGTAACAAAACAAAAAATAATGAATTTACTATTTCATTTGATACTTTATAAAAACAAGTTTACTCAACAATGTCTTACAATATAAAAACTAATAATGTAAAATATAAATTGTGTAAATATGCAGATTATTTAACTTGATATTTCATTCATGACTTGTTCAACAAATGACTTGTATCAGAATTCCGAAACCTTTTTCTAGACCTATTTTGGCCCTTATATTCTGGTAATTTTTTATAAAAGAGTGAAGGTTGTAATCACTTGACAGGGATCTTATTTTGAAGTATTGTTGGTGCAAATAGAACATGTGGTGACCAAATATTTTGCAACAATTGCTCTGTAAACTATTTCATTAAAGATATTGGGTTAGAATGAATGCTGAAATTGTATTTTAGGTTAGGGTTAGGGTTGGGGTAAGGGTTAAGTATTATAGTGTTTGGTCCAGGGTTGAAGTTTGAAATTTGGTTACTGTAGAATATTGACTGAAAAGTAATTGTCGCGAGAGCATATGGAACATGTACCATGTTTTCTACATTCCAAGAATTTCAAACTCAAACCAGTATATTATACATTACAACATTAAAAAGGTTATGTAATGATTTCATTGATTGTATTGTATTATTAAATCATGCTTGTATCATCTCATCTCTCGCAGAAATAACCAAAGATGCCAATAATGAACACTTAAAAGCAGCTTCTCGTAAAACAGACTTGTACAATCCTGAGAAAAGGACGGAAGTGATACGAACGAGCCCGGTCTCGTCTGCCTCAAACTCATTGCCAATGGCCGCACCGAGGTCGGACCCACGGGTTCAACCAAGGACACAGGGTCAAAGGTCAAACGCGCAATGGAACGCATCCTCGGAGGCGAGTAGTAATAGTGAGGTGGGAAGCTACGATAAAAACTATGACGCTAAGTCAAATAACGATAGGCATCACCATCAAGCAGATGGGAGGCCGCAGAGTGATTCAAGCAGTCATCGACGAAGCGATAGCAGCGACAGGAACCGCCACAGTCGACATAGCGACAGTCGTCACAGCGACAGTCTACGGACACCAGAGAGCAGCCTCAGCCTGCAGAGGTCATCGAGAGGGTCGCGGTCGGAGGAAACATTTGATGACGAGGAGGAGGAGGGATTCTCGGGAAGCGAACCTGAAGAGTTGTTTGATGATGGGACAATACGATATTTCATTGCCATATTTGATTACAACCCTGCTATCATGTCGCCTAATATTGACGGTGCTGAGGAGGAATTATTCTTGAAGGAAGGGGACCTCCTCAAGGTGACTTATTTTTATTGACGATTGTAATTTCTTTCTTTCTTTATGACCAACCAGTCGTAGGAATATGATTTCTAATTTTCAGTTTCATTTATAAATTTTTGAGGATAGTAGGCAAATTCCCCAATATATGTTGTAAGTTTTATGATAAAAGAAAAAACAGGAGTTTGCTCAATCATATATCTTACATCAATACACATGGGTTAAAAATTGTACATATATATTCCCACTTTGTTCCTTACTTATGGTCATGTTCTTCAATCTGTAGATCATCGGAGATAAAGACGCTGATGGGTTCTTCGTTGGTGAGATGAACGGTCGCCGTGGTTACGTGCCATGCAACATGGTGGAGGAGATTGAGGGTCCGGAGCAGACGCCCCTCGCCAAGAGAGGAGATACCTCACAGGGCCACGAGAGGTCGAGATTCAATGACAGTCTGAACACAACTGGTAGCAGTCAAGGTGAGATGTACTTAGTGTCTGAACACAATGTGGGTTTGATTCTTGTATGAACACAGTGGGACGTCCTCAGGGTGAGATTAATGACAGTCTGAACACAACTGGTAGCAGTCAAGCTAAGATTTAAAAGTCTTAACACAATGTTGTTTTAACACGGTGTCCATGCAATGGATAGTAGTTAGGGTGAGCTATTAATGACAGTCTGGTTTAAACCTTAATTTGTAATAAACCTCGAGGAATGTATTCTGGATATTTAGCCTCTATCTCAAAATCAGACAAAAGCCTTTGATCTAGTACATTCATACACATGGAAAATGTGTTCATATTAGCAACATATGAGATCCACATTCTACATTTGTGCATGTGCAATGTTCATAAAAATGTATGTGCTTTGAGATGTTATAATACTAGAAGATTGATTCATAATACATATATATTACATTTTTTCCCGTAACATGATATTAAAATTAATCGCTTCATTCTTTTAATTAAATGTAATGTAAATTTTTATTGTATAATTGTGTTAAGTGGGGGCACGCTACAAGAGTCCTATCTCGCACCCCGGGGCAACGTGTCTAACACGGCTGGTTGTAGCAACTACTCCGAAGATCAAGATACATTAATCTTGTTCTAAGGAGACAGGAACGAACGAACTAGAAGATTGAACAGCAATTTTTCCCCTTCCAATACAAACCCCTCATTTTTACTATGTTCCTCACTCCCTTACTACCCTCCCTCCAGTCAACATGTACGACAGCCTCCCTTCCAACGGGCAGCTGGTGCTTCCCAAGGAGGCATTGGCAACACCCCACCGTATGAGGGCGCTGTTTGACTACAACCCGCAGGAGCTGTCACCGAACCCCGACCTTGACGTGGAGCTGAGCTTTCGTCAGGGAGACAACCTGATGGTCTATGGAGAGATGGACGACGATGGCTTCTTTGTGGTGAGTGATGTGCAAGGATCAGTGCTGCATCCTGAAATCGGCAACAGTGTGCTTATTCATCTTCCAGAGAAACACGATGGCCCAAATTCACAAAGAAGGTTTGTCGACAAACCAAGATTTATGTACGTCATATGACACGTTTTGACGCGTTTTTTTACAAACCTGGTTTGTAAAAACGTGTCGAAATGCGTCATATGATGCATGAAAACCAAGGTTTGTCGACAAACCTCCTTTGTGAATTTGGGCCGATGTGTCTGTTTTGAGTTTGAACTCCATCATGGTTTGAATGAGCATGCACTGCGACTGTGAAATGGCCACCCCCCCCCCCCCCAAAGCAGTGCTACCGTACTGTTTGAGAGGTGGCCATTTTTCATGTACTAGTAAATGTAATTCGGAATTTCCCCTTCCTCACATTCATTCAATTTCACTTTGATAACATTTCACATAATTCTTTCTTTTTTCATTCCAGGGGGAGCTCCGAGGCAAGAGGGGTCTTGTGCCTTCCAACTTCCTGGAAGAAGTGTCAGACATCGACTCGAGCACGACGTCACGGTCCTACAGTCCTGCCTTCAATAGAAACAAAGAAAACAAACACCAATCGCAACAATCTACCAAAGACAAGGTATGTATGGTCTTGCCCCTTGAATAGGATGTTAAGTCAAAGGTTTTGTGTGAATATGCTTGTACCTGCACATAGAGCACCTATATGGAGCTTTACAGACAGATTTCATGTGTTGATTCTTCCCCTATGAAGCATCTACAGGTTGGGACATGATATCCTTTATTGTATGTCTAGAGCCAGAAGGGCCAAAAGCACTATGTGCACAATTGATGTATTGTGCTAGGTACTTTGTTTACTGTTTTACAGAATATGACCATGCAAAGATTTTTCCTTTATTTGAAAATTTGATGTGTTAGTTGTGGTTTATGAAAAAAATGAGAAATTATGCAAATTGAAAGACATCACAGTTTGGCGAGGTACAGTGTCCCTGAACTACCCCTACATTAGTTGTCTATATCATGGGTTTAGAAGCAAAAGGACATTTACTCTGCGTCTATAAGAATCTCACCGCCTTGTGGCTTCAAACAGATTATAGATACATACCGGTAGATAACGTATACTTTTAGTTGAGTACCTAAGTGAGACGTCACATCTATGGCTGGCTCCAATTCTGTCCCCTTTAATGTGTGTCCTTTTTGTCACTTTCCACTTTCTACTTGGGGGCTTATCCATCACCATTCAGCCTGGGTATGTGACGTCATCACTGAGGTGCTCTATTGTCTTGAGTAAGCAAAGCTAGACCCAAAAAATTGCAAACATGCTGCTTATCTCGAATGCAAAAAAGAAATGGAAAAAAAAAATAAAAAAAATAAAGGATGACATCTCAAAGCACTTTATATCTAGCAGAAAATCTGCTGTACCACTTACTACCATTATTATTCAGTGTTGCTTGTATTGGCCAAGCTCTGTTCGATGTAGATGTTCATTCATTCACGTTACAGTTATTTATAGTCCCATGAACTCCTTCCTGTTTGTGTTAATTCTATTTTTTCCCATGTTCCATCTTGCAGCTTCGATTTTTGTTGCTTCCTTGGATCAAATCTAGTATTTCCCAAGTTTGATATTTTACTTGCTTTCATAATGAAATCCACTTTGCACCAGTATCATTATTTTTTTTTTTTGCCTGTGTATGTACTTGTAGGGGCATTTGTAAAATTAATTTCAGTCATCATTATTGACTTCAATTTTGTTTTTGTTTTTTGTTGGGGGGGGGGGGGGTGGGAGTACTTTTCTTCCTTAAGTTGTCATATTCATTTGCATTACATCTTTAGTATTATCTCTCATTTTTGTATAACCATTTTTAGTGATCACATTTCGATTGCTTTATTATTCCGTTTCATTTGTATTACTTTTTTTTCTCTTATCCTCAAGCGAGGTTTTTATTTCCATAATTTCAATACATTTACATTAATAACTCAATTCTTTTATCTTACCAAACTTAGTTGTCATATTTCAAAAGCTCTACCAACTTTAGTCAGCTCATTATATCTGTATCCCTTGCATGCATGGAGGATGACTAGAAAAGTACATTTTTTTTGTTATTGGGTGACTTTTCCAGATAGTGTCTGTTGTCCATGCCTTAAATCTTGACTTTTCAGTTACAAACCATTTGTAGAGTATACAGACTTATTTCCCATGAGGTATTGTTCAGTTTAGTTTAAGCTTGAACTGGCCAACACATCCTGAAAAGAAAGACTATTCCTTGCATGAACATTTTATCCCTTACTTGCTACTTCATGTTTTTCTTGCATCCATGGCAATCCTGCATGTTTACATGTAGCATTCTTCAAAGCATTGGTAAGGCATGTGTGTGGTTTAGTTTGATGTGCTTGTTGTGTCTTTTGCTCTGAGTTGATTTTTCTCTCTGCCCTTTAATCCATGTAAGCTTAAGAGATGTGTTGTACTTACATTTCATTGGAAAAAATATGTATGATATTGTATATTATCTAAAACCAAATTAAGCAATTTATTGATAATTAAATATTTCAATTTCCTTTTTAAACTTAACAACAGACAGCATTAAATATAATGAGAATTAAGTGAATTCTCAAATTGATAATTCTTCCAAAAGTTATCTAATTTTGCAGATTTATTTTGATAACTGTGAGGTTGAAATAACTGCAATTTTTCCACCCTTTGGTTTCCCTGTTGATGTGTTTTTATGAAATCAAAATTTAGAAATGTAAGTTTTTTTTACCACTTTCAGCTTTGGCACATATATCTACCGGGTACATTAAATTAGTAAGATACTTGGGTCTGAAAGAAATTGTTGTGAGCAGTTTCAAAGGTATTTGGGTATTTCACATGAGGCTGCCAAAGGTTTTTTTTCTTCTTAAATATTATTACAATTTCAGTATTGTAGATGGTGAAAAGAAAGTGTTTTTCCTGATGTGAAAAGCAATTGCATGATTGGTATCCTAACCCCCGTTTGTCATATCACTGGTGGAGTAAATGGAAGGGGGAAGGGGAAGGGGGCACAACCCATTGCCCCTGTAAAATCCATCCTGGCATACAAGTTTATAGAAGAAAAATGTGCCCTTTCCCCTTTATTGTTTGTTTGTACGTTTGTCAATATTTTTTGCAAAATTGTCCCCCGCCCCTAACAAAACAAAAATTTAGAACCACCACTATAGAGTTCTGATAATATCGCTGTGCACAAAATAACACACATAATGTTTCTCTAATTTGAAGCAGTTTGCTAATCTTACATGATTTGTTTTGTTTTTGTTATTCAGTAGCTAAAATGACCCCTTTAGCATTCTTTATGTTATATTTGAGGTATCAAAATATTAGGAAATAATCAAAAAGTAAATTTATGAAAAACTCATACCTGAATCATTAATGTATCAAGGCTTGCTAATTTTAGTTGTTGGGGGATGGCAAATAGAATTGAATGGATGAACTGATGTGTTTTGTGTGAGGGATTGATAAAACAAAAACCACTAACAGTAAGAAGTGTACTGAGAAAAAATTTGTTTGTACATTTTTAGGCTTTTGATTGGGAAATGGGTATTCATAAAGCCTTATCTTATTGACTATAATGATAATAATAATAAGATATTTGTATACCGCAAATTGCAAATTTGCCTCTAAGCGGATTAGAAGAAAATAGCTGATACCAGTAAGTAAAGGAAACAGAAATTGCATTACAAATTACATCAATTCAGTTACCATTAAAACTTTGCAAATGTACATAATTACAAATCACTTACAACCAAAATACAAATAGTCCATAAATTAATAGTATCCTACGTTAATCTACAAAAAATAAAAGGCTATGGTACCAAATTCTCTCATTCCTTCCTCTTCTTCCTATTCAGTACAGTTCACCTTGGGGATTTAGTTGTACTGTTGGCTTAATAGATGATTAAGGTTAAATAAATGTTAAAACTTTAATTTTGGGCCCTGAAACAAACTTTACAATTCTCAACACAATGGACTATTAACTCTAGGACCGATTAGATGTAGGACTCTCAAAGGACCCCCATTCTATTCATCCCAATCCATTTTTCTTCCTGTTGATGCAGTACGCAGTCCCAGCCCAGCAGCAGGAGAACGGCGAAGCGCAGTACCACGGGAGTGAGGTGACGCCCGTCATCTCCGACACGGCGGAACAGACGTCCATAACGTCCACGCCTGAACACTCCAAGAAGAAGAAAGGGCTGCTCTCAAAGGGCAAGGCACTCTTCAAGAAACTGGGAAGCTCTGATAACAAGCAAAAACATAAATGATCCGAGGAAGTGTCAATGATGAAGGAATTGCCGTCTTGGTGATAGCTCAGGCAACATGTGGAGCGATCTGAAGGTCGGAGGCCATGAACAACCGGAGGGGATACCCCTGGTTTCCATGTCCGTACACAACAGTGATGACCGTCTTGCAGGGTGTAGGATCTAGCCTTCAAGTTGAACCCTTTCAGGTCTTCAGTTGACATCCTCCAATGACAGATGCTGATGATTTCCAAGTCCAAACACCACAGGAAATAAGGTGTGCTTGCCTTGATGGCTAACACTCCTGAAGAACGTGGGGGTACCCAGGATTAAGGTGTTCGGACAGAAGGGTTCCAGATCTCATTCAAAGCAGTTGTCAAATGACTCGGTATGGAGAGAAAATGATGCCATTGTCCAGATGTTGAAGGAAAGACTACTTATCTGGTATGAAGTACTCTTTAATATACAGGAAAGAGAGACTGCTAAAACTAGGAAAAGTACTAGAGTTGTTGCAAGAGAGGCCATTTTCAATTCTGAAGAATTTCTGGCTCTCTAAGATGAAATTATTCTTGGACATTCTCACAGGGTTGTCTGCTTGATAAGCAGGTGATGAAAATGTGCCAAAATTTAAGAGAAAAGCTCATCATAGAAGTTTTTGAAACTTTTGTACCAAACAATCTTTAGATATTAGGGCAATCCTGAGACAGATACACATACATATATGTACTTTTGAAATGCTAGCAGCTGTGATATGGTTGTAACTAGAAAGATGTAGAGAGAGGGAGAGGGGGATAGCATGAGGGAGAGAGGGAGAAAGAGAGAGAGAGAGAGAGAGAGAGAGAGAGAGAGGGAGACGTGGGATTATAATAGGTAAAGAATATAAGACTTAAAACAATCATTCTACATCAAGATCTTACTTTTGTCTGTTTCTCTTTCTATCTAAATATTCATTATATCTATCTGTCTCTGTCTCTCTCTCTCTCTCTCTCTCTCTCTCTCTGTATGTCTGTCTTTCTCTGTCTCTCATTTTCTTTCTCTCTCTCTCTCTCTCTCACTCTCTCTCTCTCTCTAACTATCTAACTCTCTCTCTCTCTTCTCTCTCTCTCTCTCTCTCTCTCTCTCTCTCTCACTCTATCTCTATCTCGGATCATTTGAACATACAAATCAAAAGGTGCTTGGCATTATTTCTTAAGGTATAAGAAGTTTTTCTCCATGTAATTATCATGATGTGTAAGAAATTGAAAGGTATGTTTTGTAGTCAATGAAACTATGTACTTTATATCGTAGAAAAATCTTGTATTACAAAAATTCAAAGAAACAAATAATCAACTCAAAAGCGTTATTTTTCATGTAGCGATGCAGTGTATCTCAGTTGTTCCAAAAGCTGTTGATCGAAAGCATGCACAATTAAATTTAGAAAGATGATCAGCATTTCGCACTGCTATTCAAATTTCTTTGTCTGTAGTTTTCCAGTCAGATATGATATGAGTTTTGCTATGAAAATGCTGGCCTTTCTATGCAGGTTTCCTTTATGTGGAGGCGTATCAAGTTAAAAAGTGTTCCACATTTACAGTACGTAGCATCCCGCCATAGATTATGTTCAATATGTACTTGCATACATGTAATTCAAAGATACAGTAGATTTATACATGTATTTAGGAACAAAATCATGTTAGCAGAATTATGTGTAGATACTCTCTCTCTCTCTCTCTCTCTCTCTCTCTCTCTCTCTCTCTCTCTCTTTGGTGGAGTTTTAGAGAGCAATATATATATATATATATTTTCTGTGTGTAATTAATGGGTTGGAGTCATTACTAAGATACGACCATGAATTGTCTGTTGTTAAAATTAAGTGAAGCTTAATTTAATACAAAGGTTAGAAATAGTTGCAAAGGGTTTAATTATTTTTTAGACAATGACAGATTGAATTAAAGCAGGTGCATGTAGATGATCTGCAAAGTGCATATTGTTTCTTGGTTTGAAATAAAGTGAAATTGTACCAACAATCATGGAGACGTCATTAATTCTTGCCATTTTAACTTCCAAACGGATCACCACTTTGATGTATTGCCTATCATGTTGGTCTAATCCATGTATTATTTGCCGGAATCTGGACGGAGGAGAAACATTAATACATTCCTGTGATACTTTGTGTGTACTGTACTAATTAACAAGCATTCCAATGTAACGTACTGCCATGAATGATAATTATGCCAATCGCTTCATGGATATCATGAGGATAATTATGAAGGAGGGTATCGTAAACTGTTGAGAGCTCTGTGTAAGGTGTATGAGTGAATGCCCTTTTTAGCTCTTAGTAGGCAAAGTAATGAGTTTAATACATGTAGTTGTAGTAATCATCATTAACCATAGATAGAATATTTAATAGAATGTTTAATAGAATGTTAAAATGTTTTTATTTAATTCATCTCTAGCTTTGTAGCTCCTCTTGGATTAATGATACTTGGACAGCAGTGGATACTGACTTAAAGTGAAAGAAAAAATGACGTTTTGAAAACAGTCATAGTGATTGTGAAAGTCAAGGTATTTTGTTAAGAGCATGCAAACGGATTAGGGAATTACCCTTTTGACGAAGGTGCCTAAAACACCTCATGCTAGGGTCAATGGAAAATGTGTGTCATGATAAACCATATTCAGTGGTTTGAAAATCTGCTTGCCAGGGTCTAAAGTGGAAGAAAATTAGAGGAAAATTACTGGGGCTTGTAAAGGAGGCATTGAAAGTGTGTAATCTGCAAACTAAAGTGAATGTACTAGTAATCAATGAAATAAAAGCTGCGATTTGAGGTACATGTAGATGTAGAAGCATTATCCAGATTGTTATTTTGAATGCCACGATTATTATTTTATCCTGATAAGTTTGTCTTCCTATTAGAAGTTTATATGTGTGTATCACCAGCCTTTCCAAGTGATAAAAAATGAGATGTAGTTTTCATATATTTATGCCATGCAAAGTGTATGCGAAGAAGTGTATAAATATATGTACATATGTAAATGATAAATTAACTAGATGTGTATATATTGCATTGTAATATAGAGACTACAATTTTTACGTTCTTCTTATTTTCCGTTTCTACTTTCATCTTCAAATGCCTTGTTGTACAAACATATGATGTGGAAGAGTTCAGTTTTATTTTACATATTTATAAACGTTACGGCTCACAAAAACCTTGTTTATTTCATTTTTATCTTTCTGTTCTTTTTGCAACTTGTGCTATTGTTTTAGGATCACATTGTAGTGAAAGAGAAAATTTGGCACATCTCAAAATGGCAAGGTTATTATGAAAATTTTCATAATGTTGATTGGATACCAAATGTGTGCGGAACAATACTTACCGGTAGTATATTAAGAGACATCTTCCTTTACAATTTGCACAAAAATATGGGAAGGGGAAGATGGTGATTTCCTCATTAACAAACCATGAACCATTTTTCCCCATCAATTTCATGTAGGTCTGCTGTCCAAGTTTGCCTTTGATTTGGACATGTAAGATTAATGGTGATTATTTGAAATATTAGAATAGAGATTGCTTGAGAACCTCCATAAGAGAACACTTTATATTCAAAGAAAAACAAAACTTATTTGTTCTAATGAGCTATTAAACCAGTAATGTGGGTATTTTCAATAGTATTTAAGACGATAGCATTGGTTTTGATATAATTTAATCCACTTGAATACAATCTTATTCCACTTTTCCAGCAATTTTAGTATAAGGACCAATACGATATGGATTTTAGATAACAAATTCAGTGCTTTCAATATTTCTGCAACTAATGGCATTATTTGTTTGTTCTTCACGTTTCGTTCATCCCATCCTTCCTCATATGATCATTCCGTTGTTAAACTATCACTCATCAGGGCCCTGTTTCATGAAAGTTGTTATCAAGTACAGACATTATGTGACAGTTTTGCTCACAGCTGATCAAAGGCAAGGGTTTTAGTAGCTTGTAACAGCTATTGTAACTTGTCATTGATCATAAACTTGTATGAAACAGGGTCTGGGACCCGTTTCACAAAGCCTTTTTTCAATGACAAATGACAAAATTCAGTGACAAAACTGCTGATAACCAATCAGAAGCAAGGATTTCACTGATGACAAGTTTTGTGAAACAGGGTCCTGGTCTCGGTCATAATCAAACATGATATTTTGCATTGAAAGCTGTTGATGAATTGTCTACAATGGAACTTGCACATTTCATTATTCACAACTTATTTGTCATTTATATTTTACAGGTGCTATAGAGAATGTATACAGTATCCAATCCAATGTTTGAATTTTTTTTGTAGTGATTTGTTTTGTGCTACTTGTATATTAAGTTTTCTCTTTGCTGTGGTACTTTATAATATTTGTTTTGTTCCTTTTTTTTTTTTTTTTGCTTTTCATTTGTCTTATCTTTCATTCTTTCTCGGTCATTTTTAATAACTTTTCGGTTGGGGGGGGGGGTAGAATGTGTATCAACTACAACAATCTCTGCAAGTGAAATGCTTCAGTTACTATGTTGGACTGGATACATGTCATCGAAAATCAGAAATAAATTTGCTTGTTTTGTGTGCTATTTCATGAACTGATCCACGGAAGGGTAACACATTACAGAATAAAAGTAAAACATTAGTGATTTTTTTCTATAGAAATAGGAAAAGTGTGGATTGAATATCTTTATGAAATATCAATCATGTGCTGGATATGATTATATCTGTTGGCTGGACAGAATATGTTCCTTTTTTTATAAAGTACATGTACATGTGTGTGTACTTCTTTGTCTCTTGTATCATGGCTTTTTTCAACAAATCAACAAATGATTTATTTAATGAATATAAATCTGAAATGAATCCTGAGCATTTGTTTGTGTCTTTATTTGAATGAGTGATGTTTTTAACATTTCTCCATGGTTTGGATGTGCATGGTGATGTGAGCATGGAATGGATGAATATGAGAGATAAATAAATGATTGAATATGAGAGATTAGTAAATGATTATATAACATTTATATCGAAAAGAGGAGAAAAATTAATGGGGACAGGTATTTGATTCAGAACACAACAATACCATCGTGCCTCACAGATTAAATTACAAACCAGTCAAAAAAAATCCTTGAAATCCAGTCATGAATTAATAATGGCATCATTAACGCCCAAGGTCCCGTCTTACAAAGAGTTGATATCAATCGATTCGCAACCATGTACATAAGAGATAGGAGACTGCAACTTGCGATTGATTGGAGGACTGACGATTGATTTGGATCAATCGCAACTCTTTGTAAGACGGGGCCCAGGTTTACTTATTTCATAAATTTCTTTGAAAGATAATTTGATGAAATATCATTAGTGGACTTTCCCGGCAATTTTCAGTGTGATATAAGTTGAATATGAGAAATGGTAACTGGGGTTGGTGGTGATGGAGTGATTGACTGGGAGGGGGGGGGGGGGGGGGGGGGGGGGCGGGGCTCGTTCCTAGATACATTTCAGCGGGCATTTTCATATTTCTATATCTCTTCTATGTCTCTGCCCTCCTCCCTCTCCCTCTCTCTCTCTCTCTCTCTCTCTCTCCCTTTCACACAAACACACACACACCCTATATTGCTTGAAATAACATACGTAAAGGTACATTTCTTTGAGGATTTTTGTCTGTGTTTGACTGTCAATCATAGACATAATGTATGGCATGTGGTTTTGAACAAGAGTCGAGTATAGAAACAAAATATAGAAGAATCAACTTACATTTATTTCAATGTTTAAATAATGACTGACATCAATGACAATCTTGATTGATCTTTGTAGACTATTGTAGTTTTTACAATCTCTCTCTCTCTCTCTCTCTCTCTCTCTCTCTCTCTATTTTACCCGTACCCTAATCAAGACGCAAGGTTATCAAGTCGTTATCTCATTAAGACCTTGCACCATGAGCGTCCCTGGACGGTGTGTGCGCTCTATAAGTTTGCACTATTATCATTATTATTATTATTACATGCACAAACTGGACTTTGAGCTTCCGCGCTTGACACTTCACAATAATATATTTACCCCTTGCACTCTTTGCTTATTCAATAATTAAAATCTGTGCAGCTTAGCTCAAATTGATCACCGCTGTGTGTTGACTAGCATACAGTGGCAATACGTTCTGTCAGACGGTGAATTAGACCCGCAGTATCTTCTGGATAGACACGTGTAAACATACATGTTTGATTTGCATTTAATCAATTTATCAAGATGAGTGGGCAGCCGGGCCAGCTGACCGACAAACAAAAAGAGAAGCTTTCTAAGGTAAGTTCAGATATATTAAGCTACTAGTAACTATTTTGTTTTGACTTGATCATGAAATCAAAATAACAAAATCCTCACTTATTCGTATCAAACGAATCATTTAGTATCATTAACTAGCCGCCGATCGAAAATTCGGACAGCGTTCAGCAAGATAGAAAAAAAATATGAGATTCACTGATATTTCACCGTCTGCTAAAAGCCGGAAGCGGATTAACTTATTAACACATACTTCAACGTAATCTTAAAGCACTTGTATTTTGTGTATTATTAATTAATCAATATTGTAGTTATTTGGGTACCACGAGGAAGAACGGATCAACTTTGTAGGCTGATCTAAAGCGCGGGATTCCTCGATCCTCATGTTATTTTTTTGTCTAGAATATTCCATGTAAACTATGTTAGTGTTTTGTTTCTTTATATGTTATTATTTTTGTATTTCATTTTTTTATGATCGTAAATATAACCAACCAACCAACCAACGATTTATTGTATATTACTAAATTACAAGGGGAAACTGCAGACTGAGATCCACCCTTGCTGAGGGGGGGGGGGGGGGGGGGTGCCTGAGGTAGTGGATTCCCTAATTATTGAGGGAACAGTCTAGCAATGAATCCCGTCTTTGTGATAGATCGACCCCTTTATTTTATACCACCTCAGGACAACTACCCCAGACAGTGTCCCCCAACAAATATAACCCATGCAACTTCCCCTTAGGACAACTATACACTCTAGGATAATTACCCCCAGACCACTTCATTTAGAATCCTTTCATGGGGTTTTTAGAGGCATAAAATGTCTAGGGGAGTGTTTCACAAAGACTAACTTTAAGTTGGACTTAACTATGGCAGGCCGTTCATGCCACTGTTTCCTCTCACCATTATAATCTTTAGATAATATATTTTCCTTCAATAATAATTATCAAAAAATGTAAATTCTATAGATTTGTGATCATGATTTGTACGTCCCTTAAAAAACCAATGTCAGTAAACAGGGAGAGCAAATGGTGGCATGAACAGACAAGTCCAACTTAAAGTTGATTTAAGTCTTTGTGAAACAGTCTCCTAGGCTAGGAGTGTTGTTTGTCACAGACTCACAGAGGTATACGTTATTGTAGAAAGTAGTTTTTAGGAAGAATTTTCAGAGTAATTGACATGATATCGTAGTACGTGTCCGGTGTGATTCTCATGAGAGCAAAAAAAAACGTGTTTTCATCTTCCTCCATTATAGTTCAAAGACAACTTGAAAGATGTCCTCCTGCCCAAACACGATGACGTCATCCTTCTTAAATTTCTCAAAGGTGGGTCAAATTTGTGAAAAGACAACGATTAACAAACGCGACAGAAACTTTTACAGGATTATGAAAACATTTGAATGTAGACGTTCGAATTTTAAAGTTTAGTTAAACTCTTTTCAATTTATGTTATTTCATCTACACTATACAACTCACAACAATAACAAATATGCGGTACGCGAATTCTTCAGCTATAGATTTCAATCATTTGTACTAAATATGATAACAGAATAGAAATTGGACAAAAGTCCGACTAAGCCTGTAAATGTTTGCTCGGGCCATCAATTTATAGATATTATATTTTGTACGTGATTTTTTTCAATTAGAGCAAGACGAAAGGCTTTAGTATGTCTGTTTTCGTTACAACTTTTACAACTGGATTATATAAAATGAGTCAAACAGACCCAATATAAAAGAAGAAATAAAGGAGAGAACAAAGGGTGGAGCAAAAATATATATCTTTAAAGGGTGTCGATATTATTTTTGTGAAACATTTTAGAGGAAAGTCTTTAAAAAAAAATGGACCTAGGCATCAGTCTTTCTGCAAAATGTGTAGAAGAAAAAACACGTAAAATTTGCATCTTGATGGTGCTTCTTTTGAGACAGATACGAGTTAAAATTAAACCTCTATACCTCAGTGTATCCTTTGTAAGTTTTCGGTTACAAAACATATTTGTTTTCATCATATTGATGTAAATTCACACGGCATTAATTTTTTCATTGAATTTGTTTGCAGCAAGGAGGTTTGACTTGAAGAAATCTGAGGACATGTTCAGGAAGGTAATATGACAGTGTTAGTTAGTTTGTTTGTTTAATATCGGACATCATTATTAGGCCTAAAAAAAAAGGATGTTGTATGGCCCTTTTGGTGCCAAAACATAGGTCGGTCGGTCGGAAATTATTTTTTAAAAACTTTTTTTCTTCTTTTTTCTCCCTCTTTGGGCTGATATTTCTCAGTTTTGAATGCTTTAATCATATGCTTTAATACACTTTTTTTCTTAAAAATTGGTAAAAAAATAATAACTTTTTTAAAAAGCCGCCCGTTGGTTTCAAGATTTATGGGTCGGTCGCAAAGGGCAATACAACATCTTGTTTTTTGTAAGGCCTTATTGTAATCGTCGCCATCGTCACGTATAACATGATTACAGTAATAAGACCAATTTTAATAACGATACTAATCCGTTCTCATATATCGCATTACACATTACGATCTAACATTCCTATACGCTTTCAAAGAGCTTTGGAAATAATTATAACCTACCTAGCTTCAGCTCCAGCGGCTGCTATCAGCGCACAGTGTATTTCAACGAATAATCCTACCAGCAGGGATGTGTCAGTTAGGTACTCAATTTACCCCACCGTTTGGGTGGAGTGTGGCAAATTTAGATTAGCGTATTGCCAAAGAACGTTAGTATAGTAGTAGGGATTCGAACCCCGTACCATGTGGTTAACCGTTCGGAGGCTTGTTTGCTGGACCACAACACCTCTAAGATATACCAGCGTATCTCACATTACTTTCACTGTGACAGTGGAATTTAAAATGAGAGTTGTACCATCTACAGGCAGAAACGGGTTTCTTTATTAATCGTGACACATTCCTCAGCTGAGCAAATTAGCGGGCTAAATACAATCATGCATCGTCCAAACACTTTCCTATATGCCATCTGATCAAAGTCTCTCCTGCCAACTAAAATCAGGCCATCTCAATCGACCAAAAGCAAAAACAAATGATTGATCAGCTGAATTTTGCACGATAAGAAATTAGGGATTTTATTTAATGAAAATAAATGAAAATTAGTATTTGTTTGCACAGTAGTATATAATGGCTATATCCATGATCTTAGAAACGTTAGTATTTCAAAACTCTATTTTAATTTTAAAAAAATATGTATGTACCTTACAGAGAGAAGAGGGTAGCGAGAGGGATGTGTGGTTTATATATATATATATATATATATAGGGAGAAAGAGATATATTTTACTAAAGGCGTCATTAGAGGGACATTTGGAATGAAAAAAAAAATCATTAAGTAGACATTGTCATTAGGAGGACAATTCGGTGTCCTCTTAACGTTTCTTACGTTAAATTTCTTATAGAAGGCCCAATTTTGTTATATATATCTCTCTCTATTTATGTAATTTTACTAAAGGCGTCATTGGAGGGACATTTGGAGTGAAAAAATGAGTCATTAAGTAGACATTAGGGTAAGGGCTAGGTTTAGGGTTAGGTTTAGGGTTAGGTTTTAGGGTTAGGGTTAGGGTTAAGGTTAGGGTTAGGGTTAGGATTTTTATGATGTCCACTCAATGTACCATGTAGGGTTATATATATATATATATATATATATAGAGAGAGAGAGAGAGAGAGAGAGAGAGAGAGAGAGAGGCCACTTCATATTAATGATTGTTCTTAATACCATCTTGAGTTACTGCTACGTGAGCTATTTTCATATAGACCTTTATCATTAATTATGTCGTCAGTGCAATAGATAGCAGACAAGGACATTGTTTATCTAGAGCGGCTAACCATCGTTTCCTTTATCTTTGATTCTTCCTGTCTGTATGATTTCTATTCAAATACTTGACTTTTTCAAAGGATCTAAAATGGAGAGAAGAAAACAAAGTCGACACAATGATGGACTGGTTCAAAGTACCAGAGGTGAGTGATAAGGAAACATAATTTCTGATTGTCATGATTATTTGTAAAACGACGCGATCGCAAAGGCTTTCACGATTTTTTTGGGGGTGACAAACTGCATAGCCCTTTGAGGTCTACCAGAAGAAGAAGAAGAAGAAGAATTAAAGGGTAAATTCAATACTGCATTGTGTATTCCTTATAAATCATGTTCGGATTGCATAATACGTCATCCTAATGTTGGCACATTTAAATAATTATATTTAATGGACAAAGCTTTTGTTATTGCTCAGAGTTTGATTTTTCGAAAGTCTTAAATTGTCATCCGGTTATTCAAAAAGGTCAAAGTTGTCATAATGATTGATTTTGAATAAAAATTATGACAGAAAGCAGAAGGAAAGACGAGCAATCGATATGGAAAACAAACTTAAACAGGAGAAGAAATCCGCATTACTGCAGAAGTTCAAAACATTTCGGCATTTCAAGATGAAACGAACATTTAAATATAACCTCTAATATTTAAGCATTAACAAATATGTACACTAATTGTCATTCCTATTGCTAATTAAATTTAACTAAACCCTATTACCTCTATGTTCAGGTTTTCAAAAAGTACTGGGCCGGTGGCGTCAGCGGATTGGACAAGGAGGGTCACGCGGTGTACTTTGCTGATTTTGGGAACCTAGATCCAAAGGGTATGAATACAGACAAAATGTGTGTAGAATACGCACACATTATATCAGATTAGAAAATAAATCAACGCTTTTATCTGATACATGCTGGTGCGAGCAAACAATGGGTAAAACATCAATTTGTTTAAATGTGTGCTCTAAAATGTATTTGAATGAAGCTACTGTTTTTATGATGGTGAAATAATGGAAACATCTTGACTGAATCTCCTTTGGTTAGAGTAAGTGATAAATATTTTGCAAAATTTATTTAAGCAACACAGAGAATAATGTTATCTCTGTATATGCTGTGATTATTTTATGTTAACGCAATACATATGACTCGGAACGTTGTGAATTAGCAACCCAGTTAAATTGTTTACTCTGTTTCTTTTTACCGTTGATCCGATGACATCTAGCTACCCGAACCATAAAACAGTATCCTTCTTCGTAGCCCATATGCTCTAACCATGAAGCTACGACATAGCTTTGGATCGTATAGAACTCAATAGTCACTCGCAGTACGATAGAGATCCCCCAAACAAGTACACACGTCCACATCCACACACCCACCCCCTCCTTCCGTAGACATCCCTATTGGCGTCTTAGTAAAACATCTCTCAGTGTAGCGAAATAAACACAACAACGCCTGTTTTTCTAATAATTCGATGACTTTGGTCGTACACAGGACTCATGTATTCGGCGAAGGTAAGCGACATCCTGAAGACCAACCTCTATTACATGGAAGAGCTCATGAAACAACAGAAAGATATGTCGACGGAGGTAAGTCACGTGATCAAAGTAGATCAGTCGATACGAAGAGTGAAGATAATGAAATAAAGAGTCCTTGAACACGAGGGTGACCGGGTGTGTGTTCGTGTGTGTGTGTGGGTGTGTGTGCGTGTGTGTGTGTGTGTTAGGGGACGGGGGTTGAATTTAATTGTTGTTAGGTAGGGCAAGCCGTAATGTTTGTCCTACCTAGCAACAACTAATGCGTGGGTTTGTTGACTTGGTGATTCTTCTCTGGATTACAAAGACATCAAACAAAGGATCACCTATAAAAGCAACTTCAGTCGCCTTTTGAAATGTGCAAACATTACAATGACTATTTGATCATCTGAACATGATTTCTGTGGGTCATACAAGAAGGTATTTGAGTTGATTTCTCGAAAGTTTTAACGATTATGTTTAATTATATTTTGACAGAAATATGGACATTCGATAGAGGGCGTCGTAGCAGTGATTGATCTGGAGAAGCTCAGTATACATCATCTGTGGAAGCCAGGTATGGACGTCCTTCAGAAGGTAATATGTCTTTGGGTTCTTTTGAGATGGTTGGAGTCCGGGCACTTCCACACATCACATGCAATTATCTAATTGCAGATGCAATCCAGGCCACTTAGCAACCTTACCGTATTGATTTCACTTGGAATAACTGCCGATATTGATGTAGCTTTATAATATACAGCATTTCATGTGTAGAATTTAGTGCTATATATTAGTTTTTGTGACGCACTGCGGTCACAATTTAGACACAGGATTTGAGAAACTTTCATCACGATTAAAATGTGAACACTTTTGCCCGAATTCACAAAGGAGGTTTGTCGACAAACCTATGTTTATGTGCGTCATGACGCGTTTCGATGCGTTTCAGACCAACGTTCAGACAGACGGGCCACTGTGTTTGAATCGTTGGGGTGGACATTTTAGACACTCCTCTTGAAACGTACAGGAATGCACTTGACTTTTGGGGAGTCATACTTGGGATCATCAATTCGTTTGGAGTGAAACCCACACTAGAAAAGAGTAATTCAATCACTACTTTGGAAAGGATTTCCATTATAATATAGAAAGGATTTCTACTACTACTTTGGAAAGGATTTCTATTATAATTTAGAGTGGATTTAGCACCAAAGGAAGTGATCGCTAATTTAGGCCTAGCTCCTTAAAATGTGCACTGCCACTTATCTGCATTATGAGAGTATATAGGTGTCTATTTTCCTGGTAATCAATACGGATGATAATTTTGAGTTATATATTCCAGTGGGGTGTTTCACAAAGATCTAAAGTCGAACTGATCTCTAAGTTGGACTTAATAATTATGGAAAGCCATTAGTATCTTTGAAAATATTTGATAGTTAATTTAAAAGGCATAAAATGTTGATTCAAATCAATCATATTTTCTATTATCAAGGAGATCTCATGTTCTTGATGTGGAATTTATGAAAAGTCTAAAATACTTGGATTTTTGCTTTTGAATATATTTTATTTTAAGATTACAAACGGCTCTCCATAGTTTTTAAGCACAACTTATATTTAAGTTCGACTTAGGATCTTTGTGAAAGAACCCCAGATCATGAAAACCAAGTTGACGTGTGGCTTTGTTTTTCTTGGCGGGCTTTTTTGTCATTACCAGGTATCTGTGATTATGGAGCAGCACTACCCAGAAGCCATCTACCGGCTGTACGTGGTGCAAGCACCCAAGATCTTCCCCATCGCTTTCTCCCTCATCAAGCCCTTCTTGAGAGAGGACACGAGGAAGAAAATTCAAGTTCTAGGGAGTATGTCACGTGACGCACGTCTCCATTTTGCAATAATAGCATCAGTCGTTAGAATGATTATATAGAACTCACACCAACTTGCTGTATTTGATTTTATCATCGTTTGTTTAAACCTCTCCACCAGAACGTCTCATGGCACAATATTTTTGTATTTCATACAAACTGAAATGAAGTATGAGCAAATGCGTTTATTTCCTCATCGAGGCTCTTCGAATGTGCTCTATGTGTTGACAAATATAATCATGTTTGACATAATTTCCGCGTCAGGTCAACTGCAAAACGGAACATCAAACCATAATTAGAGCTCTAATTATATCTGACTTATAGCAGCATGTCTAACTAAATTATCAAATGTATTTGTTTTTCTTATCATGATGGATAAGCGTGTACCGATTATATTAAACAAAAATATAGAAGAAGGTAAAGTGAGAGAAAGAAGTAGAAAAGGTAAGGGGAACTTTAGTAGGGAGTAAATTGATGACGTACGAACAATAAGGCTAAATAAGTTGCCTGCAGTACGCTTTAAGTTATCCGTTTGCATAAAGCTAATGCCATAATAAAACTTTCTCGCGAAAAGATTGTATACTGTCGCCTCTTTAACTTTTGACGCATCAATAATATCAGATATGAGCAGGCGCGTAGCCAGGGGGGGGGGGGGCGGTGGGGGCGGTCGCCCCCCCCCCCAAAACGCCGGCCAAAAAAAAAGAGAGAGAAAGAGGAGAAGAAAAAAAAGAGGACGTAGGAAGAAAAAGGGAAAAGGAGTCGAGAACGGTACAACGAATCATCAAAGCTTCCGCGCTTCGCGCGGGAAGGAGGGAACTGAGGAATTTAGGATTAAGAATCGTCTTCTTTCTCTTATAATTTAATGAAACGTCAAAACTTCGCACGAGAGGGGGGGGGGGGAGACAGAATTCAGACAAAGATTAAGAGTCGAGAAAGGTACAACGAATGGTCTTCTTTCTCTAATAATTTGATAAAACGTCAAAGCTTCACGTGAGAGGGGGGAGGGACTAAATTCAGACAAGGATTATGAGTCGAGAAAAGAACAACGAATCGTCTTCTTTCAAAGCTTTCGCGCGGGAGGGGGACTGAATACAGATAAGGATTATGAGTCGGGAAATTAGGTACAACGAATCGTCTCTTTTCTCTAATAGTTTAATGAAACGTCAAAGCTTCGCGTGAGAGGGGGGAGGGACTGAATTCAGACAAGGATTATGAGTCGAGAAAGGTACAACGAATCGTCTTCTTTCAAAGCTTCCGCGCTTCGCGCGGGAGGGGGGAAAGTCCCCCCTCCCTGCACCCACCCCCCTAGGGAGCGCGCTTCGCGCGCTCTGTAAGTGATTCGCACGCTTCGCGTGCTCATTACCGCCCCCCCTAAAATGAAATCCTGGCTACGCGCTTGGATATGAGCCTGTCTCTCCTTTTCTTACTTTGATTGTTTTTTCTCTGCAGATAACTGGAAGGAGGTATTGACGAAGCAGATAGATCTTGATCAGCTGCCGGCACACTGGGGAGGAACTAAGACAGATCCCGATGGTGATACTAAGTGTGAAACGCTGGTAGGTTACTTTTGCTTTTGGGATCACTAAAAATAGGAATTTAAAGTTATAATGTAGAGCCTATATCAACTAATCTGTTTTAGCGTAATGCTATGTTAAGAGCGAGAAGAAACGGTATGACAAGAAAATGAATAATAAGTGCTCACGAAGGTTTCTTGGGGAGATGGAAGATGAGTTTGTGGGCTTGAAAAAATGGAGGAGGTTAAGGGGAATAGGTGAGACGAACAGAGCATCATCTTCGTGAACAAATGAAACATTATCGGGTCACATTTCAGTTGAGCGTTAAGCTGTTAGCCTCAGAATGTAATTCTTGTTCAATACGTTCCTTCGTGGGAGAACTTATTCAGGGAGGGTCCCGTTTTCTTTCTTGCTTGTGGGTGTGGGATGGCATATGAAGGGCGTACGATTATTCCTGTCATACGCTATCATTAATTAAAACAAAAACAGCAATGGATTCGGTGATATTCGATCACAGGTTAAAACTTAAATCCCGTCTGTATATTACTAATTTGGTCAGGGGAGATTAGACCACCCTGCAATTTCATTTTCACTGGTGGTTATCTCATCAAATCAGCTCTCAATTAACATAAGAAAAAGGGGATCATGGGGAACCAACATGCACCGATTAGGCATTGTTTTCTATATAGAGGGCGCAAGTAGATATAAGTAGTGCAGATGGGCTTTAATGCGTGGAATTTCCCATCTATCTGTGCCCAGATCAAGCCAGGAGGTAAGGTACCCGAATTATTCTACCTCAAGGACCGTAAGCCGCCCCATACCCACACAGATCGTGAGGTATCAAGAGGAGGCAATCTGGAATTCGAGTACGTCGTCACCAAACCAGACAGTGTATTCAGGTCTGTATTCATTTGAATGTTATTTTATCCTTCGATCGTTTTACTTCAGAAAAATTATTCAATCAGCAGATCTCATTTTATGAAATATGGTGGGATAAGCACCTCCAGGAAGATAAAATTCTATTCATTCTGTTTAACCAGTCGATGTTTTCATAATTATAGTTCAAAGGTACGAATATCGATTAGCTTGCAAGCTATTATCTGGTTCCTTTTATGCTGTTATGTTATCGCATACAAATACTCTTTATACTTCTGTTATGTATTTATTATTTGATAGTAGATGTCAAGTTCAAAGAAATGATATTAATATGATGATTAAAAACAGGGGCCGGCCGTGGAACTGCAACTTGTGACAGCCTATACAATCAGAATGTAGCCCTAACTCTGGTTGAAAGGCAGGATGATGAACATACCTGAGATAACATCAGAGTCATGATAAAAGGGAAAAAAAGAAATGCGAAAAATAATGAAAAACACGGGAAGGAGAAGCGGGAAAATATCGAAATTAGTGATAATGATTTAAACAGTAATTGTAGAAAACGAGGAAAACAGAAGACTGACGAATTCAAGAAAAGATGATCAGCCAATAGGAATACTTAATTAGCCATCTTCTATAGTACTGTTGTAATCTGCATTTAAAGAAAGAGTCTGTTAATGCACAATAATCTGGACATTAAGTTGAAGTCTCGCTTTTTGTTTGCAATCGAAGGTACGAATTCCGGACAGAATCCAGTGAAATCAAATTCGGCTTCGATCGCGTGGACACGAAGGGTAAGAAGACGGCCATTTTGAAACTGGAGAAATACAACAGTCACATGGTACCTGAGAACGGTGAAATCATGATTACTGAACCTGGAACATGTAAGTTTGGAAAAACAAATTTGTTAAACAGAATTTCAATGCCCTTGAATAGTTTTTCTAGTGCCCAAAAACTATTTCACCAGATATAAAGTCATATAAAGCAGTATATGCACACTAATAATTGTTAACTTTTTTCGTCCTTAAGGATAAGTAATTGAGAGATAAACACGTTAACCATTTGAAAGGAACCAAATACATGCAATTGCATAAAACTTGTTGACGGATGGCGGTCTAAACATCAACAACTTCTCCTGACAATGTTGTTAAAAACTGGTATTGAGTAACGTAGGCCTACCGGATAATTAATTTTATCAGATTCTTCGTGAACAAAAATAACACTGTGTAACGATAAATGTGAAATATGATTTAAAAATTAACCGAACACCCATCTCCCTGCCGAAGTCAAACTAATGTATTTTAGAATGTATCTCTCCTTCCATTGTTTTAACATGCTAATATGCTTCTCTTTTTTTAATGTCTTTTGCAGATGCGGCAAAGTTCGACAATGAAAGCTGGACCAAACCTAAAAAGCTCTCCTATTGGCTGGAGCTACTGGAACCCAGTGACGTAGATCCAGACTTTCAGGAGATGGGCGAGGAGTTTTCCAAAATCGATCTTAACGATTAGATCAATACATCATCGTTATTATCTTTCAGATGGATCGGTATTCATGCCCAAACACTACCCAATTGCATTTCTAAAATGGGAACTATATAATTTGGTTGTGTGTTCAAATTTTAGCAATAGGTGATGATCAAGTTTGACACGTTAGAGGGTATACCTACATCATCTAGACACAAACTTATAAACATACGTGTATTTGCATGGCACATTTTAAAAGGAAATGCATATAAAATAATATCCTAACAGTTTTGGGGGTGCTATACTACATGAAACGTGTTTTTATGTGTGTGTGTGCAGGCAATGTTTCGGTATGAATGGGAACATTGTGAATGCATTGTGTGTTTACAATGTAAATAGTATTTAATATTATAATTGTAGGCTCAGAAGCATTTTTATTCAATAATAATAACACGTTATTAAAAAAAGAGGCCAGAACACATCGCTGTTATCAACTTAATATAGACAGTTTAGTCGTCGTCTAATATCCTTCTAGAAGAATAACCACAGAAAACAATTTTACAAGAGAATTACTCTGATTTATAATTATGAAAAAAATAGCACCCTTTTCTCTCGTAAATGTTCCCTTTCATACTGATACCCACATAAGACACTCATTTGCCTAGTGATTGTAGTCGATTATTTAACGCACCTTTATTGTAGTCTCGGTCCAAGTACAGTATATTCAGGGGCTCTCAGTGATCCCCTCCCCCCCCCCTCTCTCTCTCTCTCTCTCTCTCTCTCTATTTCTCTCTCTCTCTCTCTCTCTCTCTCTCTCTCTCTCTCTCTCTCTATATATATATATATATATATATCTCATGTCCACACAGCACTTTCTCTTTGCGTCGCTTTTTATCTTTCTTCTTTCCCTCCGACTCTCCCAGTCTGTCAACATTTCACATTGCTATATAATCTCTCTTTCTCTTTGTATAAAGTGTAATGCAATGCATTTGTTCAAATTATATATTACCAAAAACATCCTCTGTTAGCATTCGTAATGACATTTTTTTATGTTCGTTTTACCGGAAAATAGTAATAACAATTAACAAATAGATATTCAACATATTGTACTGCTGTCAAACAAACACGGAATAGAATTTTATACAACAAGACGAATATTAGTGCAATACAAGTACAGATGACATTTTATGTTAAAATGTTAAATTCATGATTTAATTTCTTATTGTAAAAGATAGAGATTGAAAAGTACATAATTTTGTATACAACAAAATATTGTCATCGAAATAAACTGAATAAATCTGAAATTTCATTTGGGTGTCTACATTGCAAGAAATTTCATTTGACAAGAATCTTTCTCCGTGAAGTCGATCAATTTGATCTGTTCCTTAATATCATATGATACAAATGAATTGTTTATGCAAGATGCACTTGCTTCACTCAGATCAAGTTCCCTGAAATAAACTATACTACAACTTTTGATATGATTTCAGTGGAGTTGCTGCGATGGGACGCCACCGCCCCCTCCCATCACAAATCATAATGGGGTAATAGAGAGCGAGAGACAGAAAGAGGAAGGTGAATGATAGAGAGAGAGGGGCGAGGGGTGGTGGTGAGCAGAGAGAGAGAGAGAGAGAGAGAGAGAGAGAGAGAAGGTAGGGTCGAACGAGCGAAATAGAGAGTGAGAGATAGATAGAGAGAAAGAGAGAGAGAGAGAGAGCGAGAGATAGATAGCAACATTAAAAAACTCGGTCATTTGATGGCCTTGATCTCTTGCACTTCATCCATCGATTACGAGTAAAACCTTTGCCCCTGCCCTTCCCCCACACCCCACGTATGGGTTTGGGTTCATAAAGAAATTTATGTGAATTATTTACAAGTCGATGTGAATAGCTCCGAAACAATTCATGAGATAAACATCCATCAGCATAGTCAGTGACAATAAAGGATGGTTTCGAAAGATTAAGAAAGTTCCACGAGAGCGCATTTTGCATGACTTTCGATTACAGTATTAAAGCTATGGTCACAAATCAGAGCAGCGACCGACCGATCAGTAGCCTGCTCGGTCGCTGCTGGCATCGCCCAGCGATTAGGTCGGTGCCCGGGCAGCGACCGCCCAGGCACCGAGCGTATTTTGGGCGGCGAGTGAAAAGTGAGCAGGCGCCGCCCAAATTTTAACTCCGCGCTAAAACTTCAGCGGCGACCGAGCGATGCCCTAAAAACGAGCGGTGCCCGGGCAGCCGCCGGGCAGAATTGGTTAAAAACTCGCCGCTCGGCCGCCGAGCAGGCAACTTTTGGGTAATCTGACCATAGCATAAACGACCATATTTATCATAAATGAAAAATTATAATAATTCAAAGACAACATTAATATCAGATGTTTACTTGAGTTGAAAGGCATCGAAAGCTTTCGATAGGTCATAAATTTTGTTTATTAACATCAACATAACGGAAATATATCAAGACATATATCAAGAACTGCACTTTTATCATAGTTCATAATGTTGAATACGCCTTTATCGTCATCTTCAACATGAAAGTATACGAATAACGCATAAAGGTGGTTGGTTTGATGGTTTGTTTTTACCTGACTGCTAATCATAACGCTCTATTGTCACATCGGCAAAGTTGACTACTTCTATCAATTATTCATGAACATTCGCGTGATTTTTCTTGGTAAAATATAATAATTTGATATCATTGTAAAGAAAGATATTTATGCTTTATGCTGATTATAACATCTTCGTGACGCAAGAATGATTCCAATGTGAAAATCAGCCCTACTCTTTAGATGGATTTATCGGCCCCATTTTCTAGGCGAAATATCTGTTCCCAAATATATTTAACATGATTGTCATATAAGAATATAGAGAGTGCAACGTCTTATCTGTAAAATAAGACCAATTTCATGAGAAATGAACAATTTATAAAGGCAAAAACTGCCCATCGGAAAGACCGTCTGCACTACTCATTACGTAGCATTAAAGACATGTAAACTCTTCAATATGTGCTGAATAAATATAATAGAGGGTTTTCGCACCGGCTGCGGACTGACTGTAAGTAGACATGTGTATGCTTGGTAATACCATGGACCTATTAGGGATGGACATTCAACGTGATTCTTTCTTTGATCCTATGATAGTTACCGCCTTCTGATTATGTGCATCTTAATGAGAACATTCAACTGTTTTAACAATAACGACTGCGTGAGCATTTTCGGGCTTTGACAAAGGAGCAGTTTCCCTCTCTTGGGTTTTGTTTGGATGGTGTGCTCTCTAAGAGTGTGTCTTAAATAAAAACATCCACAAAGGGGAGCAGCAAAGTTGAAAAGCAGACGATTTTGGTGATATGATATGAAATGTATTATTACTGATTTGCACACTTTCGCACACCCCCATGACCTTATCAAACAATTAGAAGGCCATAATCTTTAAAAGCCCTCTGCGTTGTAACTCTGGAATATTATGCGGAAATTGGGGAAAACGGGATTTTAAATCACAAACAATCCAAACAAAACCTATCTGGTAATATCAACATGTTTTTCAAAAATAGAACACAGAACACGGAACAACAATTTCCAATTATTAACCAGAACTGCACATCGATTTCCCATGATTTAAGCGGTTTATTATCTTCTGCGCATGTATATTAATATGTTTAAAATCGCTATCTTGATTCTGTCCCGGCTTATTGGCGGTGACCATCATGAGATCAAAGGGAAGAAACATGTACGGAATGTTATTGAGACGACATTGACGGAGACAACCACAATGAAATCTTTAAAAAAAAACGATGAATGTCCATTCGTAATAGGTCCATGGTAATACGCAACCAGTATCTTTCTTCTTCTCTTTTAAACTTTGTTAACAATAGAGAATTCTTTGATATCCCGATTACGAATCAATATACATTGTCTTTTTAGAAACATGAAGTGATTATACCTGACCCACTGCGAATTTGAGGTCACACACAAACCATGTACAATTCAATATTGCAATACGTGTTTCGAAATTCCACTCCCCCACATACAATTCAATTTATTTTACAAAATGGGAGGCTTTGGAAGGTTTTGTGTAATATTCAATATTCAACTAAATACACTTGAAAGAAGCAGCCACCCAGCCCTCTATCCCATCAGTCTTTCTTTGTTTCCTTTTTAATAATAATAATCTTTCTCTCTCTCTCTCTCTCTGGGGAGTTTTTTCTCATCTCAGAGGTGGTAGCCTACTAGTTCCTTTTGTATTCTTGACAAAGAACAAACTATTTTATTTCCACAAATAAAATATCATCTTGGAGGGGAGGGGGTTAAGGTGTAAGCTCTTTGCAATACCTCCTTGTAGAAAAACTTACATGCGTTCTCACAGTTTTTAATTGAACTAAATTTAAATGAGACAAACATAATTGTCAAGACGAATGTCACATCGGATTAGCCTACATGTTTATATACAACGCATGTCCAGTTACAGCCACACGCCATGACACGCGATCTTCCATACAATTGTAAGAAGCCTAGTTTGTTTGATCTGTGCTAAACTGGAATTACATTATTCATTTCTCTGTTAGCTCTCATGTTCTTCTCAAACTTTGCCCAGAAGAGTTCTTGTCCATCTTCATCATCAAACACCCACAGCAAGTAAGGTTTGTTCCGACTCAGCAACAGCCTTACAAGATACGGTAGATTGTCATCATCGATGTCCTCTAAGAATATGAGGATGACCTTCTCCAACTTGGTGTCATTCATATGCTCCACGGCCATACGGAGTTTGGTCATGAACCAGGTATCCTCCACTGACTGGTTGCTAAGCAACAATACCGTCTTATAGCTGTTCTCGATGACGTCATAGATGGCGTTTAAGTAGAAAGACCCTGGATGAAGACCACTATCCCCAAACACGATGTGCTCGAGGTGTGGCATCCTCCCCTGCAGGAATGGCTTCATGCAATCGTTAATCCACCACTCATCATCTTCACGAAACATAAGGTTAAGCTGATATTCGTAGTCCTCAGGAACTTGATTTTCAGTGATTTCTTGATACCCAATGATGGCCAACTTTAAGAGAAATAGTTTGTGGTTCAGCCACCATCGCTTTTGGTACGTGAGGATACTTAGAGACAGAACAGTCACGATTGCCAAAGATACACCTACAATAAGATAGATATTGACTCCGCAGTAATCTTTAGGATGGAAGGACCAGATAGTTTGATTCCTTAGCGATTTGAAGGAAGTACTAGAGCAACGAATTTCACTTCTTTTATCAATTGTCGTATTCACCTTGTCCAGCCATTCCCTGAACCATGCAAGTTGGCAGGTACATGTAAAAGGATTGTTCGCAATGATTAACACCTTTAGACTTGTTGGTAATAGTGTGAAAGAATCTATCGTGGAGATTTGATTATTCTGGAGATATAGATACTGGAGACTGGATGTTCTGGAAAATAATTGCTTCTCGATAACTGTAATATAGTTAGATGTTAGATTCAGGTTACGTAAATTCTGTAGATCCTGAAAAGCTTTTGCGGGAATGATTTTTATCAAGTTTTTGGCCAACAAGAGATCTGTTAGTGACGTGAGATTCCTAAATATCCCCGAGTCAATTTGTGGTATTCGACAGTCAGTCAGATCTAGCTCATGAAGATTCCAAAGTGGGGTAAATGCGTTAGGAACGTGGTGGAAATCATAGAATAAGTTCTTTTGCAGTTTAAGAGTGTGCAATGAGACCAATCCTGAAAACAGTGATCCATTGCTTTTAAATTGGACTAGATCTTCGGCTTTGATGTAAGTACTGGATAAGTTTAGAGTCCTCAGCGCTGACGTATGACTAAATTGGCCACGGGAATTAATTTCTAAGCGACTAGAAAGGTAGGACATATCTAGGAATACTAGTTGATGCATGTTACTGAAAGAACCAGTCATGGTGAATTTGACTAAATCTGTCATTATGATCTTTTCTAAAGAACTAGTTTCTTCAAACGCATCAACGGATATATCGACAAGATTATGATTCCTGGTAAGATCAAGACATTTCAGATTTTTTAAACCAACAAACGTATTGTTATTCACGGAATTAAGGTTGTTAAAGGCTAAGATAAGAGTTTGAAGATTTGTTGTGTTCCATGGTATATTTTTGATATCATGAATGTTGCTTTCATATAATCTCAAAGTGCTGAGACTGTGGCTTCCGTCGAACCATTGAGGATCTAATACAGCAATGTCGTTAAGTGATAAATTAATGCTCTCAAGCTTTTCGGCGCAAGCAAAAGATCCTCGTGGAAGCGACGTAATTTTGTTTACAGATAGATTCAAATTAATCAGCGACTTCAATCCACAAAATGAACCGTTATAAAGACTTGATAAAAGATTTCTTCCAATGTCTAGTACCTGGAGTTTTTCGAAACCATCCAGGGCATACTTTGGAATAGTTATCAATTCGTTGCGTGATAAATAAAGTTTTGTTATACCAGGAAAAAGATCTCTTGGTATTTCTGATGTATTCATGGGTACAATAGATCTTATACCTGACGCGGTTATGGTCACTTGTATTATTGCCTTATTACCCAGAAAGGAATCGGCCTGGAATTGAACCAATGATATATAATTGATGAGTAAATGTACTGCTGGTAGATCCGTGAATACGGCACGAGGGAGGCTCTTAATATCGTTATGATTCAGGTCAAATCTATCAAAGGAGCAATTCCGTAAAGCTACAAAATCTCCCTTCTCTAGTAATCTGACTTCATTAAAAGCCAAATAAAAACGTGACAAATTCTTACATCCGCATGCGTCCTCCCCATTTTTTGCAGAGTAAGTGGTTTGCAGATTGTTTCCAAAGATGAGAGGAATTCGCTTGAGTTTATTATGATACAGGCTTAGCAAGTATAGATGGCAATTCTTCTCCAGGAGGGAAATGGGTAGGACACTGATATTGTTGTGATCGAGCATCAATACCTTAAGTAGCAGGAGAGCATGAAATGTTTCATTCTCAATGAGGTACATGGAGTTGTAACTAGCGTCTAAAGTTTCTAGCTGTGTATAGTTCACGAAAGATTTGTCCAGGAGCATAAAGATGTTATTATCAGAAACGTTGAGGGAACGCACGTCGTGTGAAAGATTCCGGGGAACCGATGTAAGACCGCGATATGAGCAATTGGCGCTATGGTCACTCGGGTTTTCCGAGCACGTATGATTAAGATTTTTGCTGGTGTGATCCATCACAACACCATAAAGCAAAGTGAATCCACACAGTACTACGAAGTTTATTGCGTGAGCGTACACAGCCATCATGAGTTCCAACCAACAGGTCGCTGATACTGATACTGAATTGATGCGAGAAAAACAGAAGGAAAATCGAAGGAGTACTCGGTCCCTAAAGATGATTACGATAAGTCAGCCTTTTTGTTCTTAAAATGAAACCTAGGCCTATCTTACAAGAAAACATCCACGGTAGAACGATAAAGTCTTTTTGATTGCTGTATAAATCGTGTTTCATGCTTTCTCAAAATGTGTTTTTTTAAGTGGACCGCTAAGAAAGTATTTTTGTATCACGTACCCAGAATATCACAACTTGATGTAAAAATTAGAATGATTTAAGCACCATTTCTAACTTTGGCCTACCAAGCTGATCCAAGAGTCGACTCGATGGTCTTTTTTTTTGCTTCCCTAGAAGGTCGATAGGCCAAGTCCTGGACTACATCAGAGAGATATCCGCAGGTATGAAAAGTCAGTAGTTCCTACAACTGTGCTCTTGACTGTCCCTCTGTGTTCTTTTCGTGTATTTGTCCTATAGGATATGCGCTGTTCAGTCTCAAATCTCTGTAATACCATTTCATTGACTCATTTCCAGCTTTGTCATTTTTATTTGACTTTTGAAACAAGCATCTAATTTCCTTTCGCCAAATGTGCAGTATCTATGAACATGATACACCTATGTAAGATTACAGTCCAGTGACTCGGTTCTCGGCAGAGAATTAAAGCTAGTCTAAAATTAGATCCTTCATCAGCAGAATTGTTTCATGATTGTTCCCATCAAATCGTCCTTTCTCTTTTTGATGACCCTGATCAACATTTTTCCTCTTCCCTCATCTTGGCGTGTATTTTTTTAGGAATAAATCCTGTCAAAGCGGAGTCAAAGATGCTTTAAGTTCAGGTATTATTTCAAAATGAGACAAGAGTCGAGATTGTGAAACACCGTGAGATGCAACATGAAATGAAGCGTTGGTTAAGCCATGTGATCAGTTTGGTAATTATATCACACGATCATTAAAAAAAAAATACAATACAATTACTTTAATTGGGCGGTCTGTGATAGATAAGGAAATGACGGTGCTTAATATTGAGCAAACAAGGAACTGTGATACTTAGTTTTCAAGAGGAAGGACACTTTAAAGGAAAATCTCGGGGAGAAAAACCACCCATTGATTTAATCAAATAGATTTTATGCTTATGTATTTCATTAGTTAAAGAAACGATGTTTAACTGTTACTTTACAGCTTGTGGCTGATATTCTTGGCTTTGATCCATTTTTTATTTCAAGTTTTGATATAATCAATGCCTTTCGACGACCGATATCCTGTCTTGAATGATATTGCTGTACTATTTTTTGTCGAGTGTAATACGATATGTTCTGTTTTCTTTTAAAATACTTTTTGCTTTGTTTTCTTAGGTTTGTAACAATTCTATTTTGTATTGCTATCTTTTGACCGTCTGTATGTTTGTTAAATTGAATTGAATTGAATTTATATATTCATACAAGGTAAAAGCCCAAAAGGTGACAAAACTGGATTCTGGTTGGGTCGTGTCAAACATAAAGAAGTAGATAAAATGAAAAACATTTAATAATTAATAATAAATAATGATATATTAATACATGTAGTTAAAATAAAGAAATTAAAACAAGTGATGGCTAAAAAAAAAAAAATTATACAATCTTAGAACAAACGATAAAATACAAAACATTAATCCTCGACAAATCGAAAAGCTTAAAGGTTTAAAAGTGTAAAAGTTCAAAATAAGTATGAAATATTGTATAAAGATTAAAACAAATGTAAAGAGAGGGAAAATACACTAACCTGTAAAACTTGTATAGCAACGAAATATAATAAGAGATTGCATAGTCAACATCAGAAAGCACAGATACGAATAAGGCTTTCCATCACGAATAACTACCAGAAGGATACAATAATTCAAAATACCCAAACGGAAACATCAAACATTGTTAATGAAGAAGATTTCTTTTAAACAATAACACAACAATTTATAACTCAAACATCACAGAATGAAACACCCCCGTAATAAATAATAAGAATTCGAGTACTCATTAATATACATGTACAACAGTAGTTACAAATTTCCAATCGTTTAACAAAATTCTATGCAACCTCCGTGTCATACGGTAAAGAATTCCACAAAACAGCGCCTTTATATAAAAATGGTATGTTTTAATAGCCGAGTTTTTTTTTTGCTTGAGTATTAATTAAACATATTTTGAACATCTTTCTAATGGTATTTTGTTTTCTTTTCTTTTCAAGTGTATCCCGTCCAAGGCTTTTACGATTGTGACTTCCTGATGAATCACAAGGGGTATTGATTCTGCATGCTGCCGGATTTCGTATTTTTGGAGATTGATTTGAAGACATTTTTCACAATTTCTCCATATTATGTTGCAATAAGTAAGGGAAACCAGGGAATTATTTTTTATTGAGAATATTACGATTTCAACATTTTAACAACAGATTTCTTCTTTCCTTTTAGAAATCTTTATTTGACGACTCTTTTCGACCTTTAAAAAATGTATTCAATGAAAGATTTCACTCTGGATTAGAGGAAGTTTTACCCTTCAGATTGAGTAGAAAGGTCCTCTTTGTAGCGAGCCAATAGTTTGAGATGCTATTGTATTACGCGGCGTTGTAAAGAGAGTTTCACTCTTAAGAATGGACAGAGTTTTCAAGAGGAAAACGAAACTAGATCTTTCCTGACTTTGAATTCGCCGCAATTTACACTGTGACTGCATTTAAGCCAACAAAATAAACAATACACAAAGGTCCCTACGGGCAGTGGCTGATCCAGGGGTGCCCCCACCCCTGTTGAAAAAAACCCTGTAAACACACGTTAATTTTTACCTTTTTTTGGAGATGGGCCCCTCCCCTGGCGCTCAAGGGGGGGGGGGGGGGTTCAATTATTCAAATTTTCGAGGCCAAAAAACACGTTAATTTTTACCTTTTTTTGGAGATGGGCCCCTCCCCTGGCGCTCAAGGGGGGGGGGGTTCAATTATTCAAATTTTCGAGGCCAAAAAACACGTTAATTTTACCTTTTTTTGGAGATGGGCCCCCTCCCTTGGCGCTCAAGGGGGGGGGGGGTTCGATTTTTCAAATTTTCGAGGGCGAAAAACACGTTAATTTTAGTGCTCACTAACCCTCCCCCCCCCCCCTTCTGAACAAATTATCGACCAGCGCGATTTATCCAATTTTCGGGAGCAAAACAAAATAAATAAAATAATAATAATGCTCACTACCCCCCCCCCCCCCCCCCCCCCCCACCCACCCCCCCCCCCCACACTGAGCGAATTATCGGCCGGCTGTTTCGCCGCTAAATATTTTCCCACGAATTGGCCCCCTCCCCTGCCGCCGGCTGGATCCGCCCCTGCCTACGGGACCATTGTTGAACATTAATTCTTGCATCAGTTGTTCCGTTCATTTCACCTCATGAAAACTCTTTGTTTCATTTATGTCCTAAATTAAAATACCAGGTTTCCAGGATAACCTCAAATAAGTCCCATGTTATCATTGTTTGACTGTAGGATGAGTCGGGCCCAAGGTGGCGGTATTTCAATATAGACTTTGAGGACCTTGAGTGATTTTTTTTATGTCAATGCTGAAGGAACAAAATTTTATACATAAAATCAATTTGTCACAAGTGCAGAGACTTTGTGTGATATTTAGAGAAAACATCTTTAAAATTTTATGATGGAAATGGCAGAATAATATGTGATGAATCACCAACGAATAACATCATTAATTTCAAAGGACTAAAACTTACAGTTGTCAATCCGCTTTCATTCCAGTTGTTCTTGACAACCTTTTTCAAAATGGCCGCCCGGTACACTTTCCCTGACAGTCGGGCTATTTTTCAAGATGGCCGCCGGCGTTTTTTAAAATTGTTTTCATATCAGAAATAGATCATTTTAGCAGTTTGTTTTTCATGTTTTTTTCTTTAAAAAAAAAAATTATTAAAAAAAAAAATCGTATAAAGGTAATACAAAGTTTTGGGAAATTTTGAAAATTGGGTGGATAGTGAATCTTTACAATTTTTATATATTTGGATGCCCCTGTGGATGTATTATAAGCACTCAAAAAATTAACCCCTAAAACACTAAAACAAATTTCAAATAGCGCCTACGGCCGTACAATGGTAGCTGCGACCATGAAAATATCAGAATATGTAGTTGTGATATATAATTTCCAAACGGGAATAGCTAATCGGTCGATTTTTATAGTCAAGAAACATTATTTCATAGCTAAATTGATATCTTGACCTTGAGAGGGAGCTATACAACATAAATAGTTTATTATTTATAATTTCATAACTTTAGACTCGATTTCAACCGGGACAACGATCAATGAATAATGTAAAAACGCACATGCTTCCTATGTGTTAATTTGAACCAAATTCATGACCCCATACCAAAACTTTGTAATACCTTTAAAGCCCAACTTTCCTACTTGTAGCTACTTGCTCCCTCTATATAGAAAAATTCCCAATCGGTGCCTGTTGGTCCCCCATTATCCTCTTTTTCTTATGTTAGTTGAGAGCTGAGTTAATGAGATAACCACATGTCAGTGACCTCGCTGTGTGGTCTTATCCCTTCTGGCCCAGTAGTATTGACGGTCTTTAAATCATGGGAAATCGATGTGCAGTTCTGGTTTATAATAGAAAATTGTTGTTCCATGTAATGTGTTTTATTTTGAAAAACTTGTTGATATTACCAGAAAGAGTTTATATTTGGGTTGTTTGTGATTTTAAATCCCGTTTCCCCAAATTTCCTCATAATATTCCAGAGTTACAACGCACAGAGCTTTTAAAGATCATGGCTTTATAATTGTTTTATAATGTCATTGGTGCGTGCGAAAGTGTGCGAATCAGTAGTAATAAATGTCATATTACCACAATCGTCTGCTTTTCCACTTTGCTGCTCCCCATTGGTAATGTTTGTATTTAAGACACACTCTTACAGAGCAAACTATCTAAACAAATCCCAAGAGTGGGCAACTGCTCTTTTGTCAATGACCGAAAGAGCTTACGCAGTCGTTATTGTTTAAACAGTTAAATATTCACATTAAAATGCACATAATCAGAAGACGGCTCGTTGGATCAAAAAAAGGAATCACGTTGAATGTCCATCCGTAATAGGTCCATGCTTAGAGGAGACATCTGCATCTGAAGACACACGGCTTAACACTCCTAGTGGAGTAAATTGAGTCGGACTCGGTGTGGGCATAAAATGGCTAAAATGTGAGTTAATAGTTCCTTAGAAAGAAGAAAGAATCAATGAAGGTTCGAATTCAATATTAGCTAAAAACTTTACCTACAAACCTTTGAGTTGCATTTGTATCTTTTTTTCTTCTAGCAAATGGAAGATTTTTTTTTTTTTTTTTAAAACATGTAATTGATATCTTGCCAATGTTTATTCCTTATATTTAACAAATATGTGGTTCAATTGAAAATTTGATTCACTGTGTATCGCTTTACTATTGTCTCCTTATTAATAACAGAAATATTGTGACGATTACTACGTAATATATGATTATTGTATTCTTCCTCACGACTTGCTAAT